TGCCTCCATGTTTCCATACCGTGGCGGCGGCAGCAAACAAAAACTAACTCCAGAATAGCACCCGTCGCCAATGCGACAAAGACGCCAAACTTTCCGCCGCCCAAGACCGACAAGCCCCGTCCCCACGTTTGCGCTACTTGCACCCGATCCTTCGCACGACTGGAACACTTGAAGCGTCACGAGCGATCTCACACCAAGGAGAAGCCGTTTGAGTGCCCCGAGTGTGCACGATGCTTCGCGCGCCGCGATCTGCTGCTTCGTCATCAGCAGAAGCTGCACCAGTCATCCACCCCATCTTCGAGACCTCGCAACCGCCGCGAGTCGACCAGCGGCACTCCTGCCCAGAGCCGAGCCCGCAAGAACAGTGTGGCCAACGCTGCTGCTAATGCAAATTACGGCGGCAACAACAACTCGGGCGCTTCCATGAGGCCCAGGGCCAACACAATAAGTCATGTCGATCAGACCGCGATGCACATGATCAATGCTGCCAATTCGTCAGTGGCCCCTCCTCGCGTTCCTCAGCCGCATCATGGTCACAACCGCCACGCCAGCCTCATCGGCCTGCCCATCAACGGGCACGGGTTCGATCAGACATTCGGAGGCATGGCCGCTGCTATGGGTCAAAGGGGCACGCCGCATGGTCTCAAGATTGAGACGGCTCATGGGATGGGTGACTTCAACAACGGTGGCCTCCGCACAGCACCTGCGCTGGCACTCAACGAGTTCGACATGGACTCGTTCATGTTTGGGGCCATGTCGGCCAACACGGTCAACCCGAACGCGCTGCACTACAGCGACTCCCCGCCATCCTTGGCGATGGGTCCCATGGCCGACTTTGGTGCTCCGATGCCCGAGATGTACCCGACAACGGGTGGCCACGACGACGACTTCGCTTGGCTGGCAGGATTCGAGAACACGATGACGTTGCAAAACGAAAAGGTAGTGGATGAGTCGAGTCCATCGGCAATCAGTTCGACAAGTCAAAGTGGGTTGAGCGATTTGATGCTCGATGGGTCAAGGTCGAACAACAACGGTGCTCTGGCGCAGGCAAACGAAGCAAACCACACGTGGAGCCACGGAACAATGGGCCCTCCTCAATTCCCGCTGAACCAGTTCTCGATGGATTGCAATAACGTCTTCCCGGATCTACTATACGGGGCACCCATGTCCCCTCAGCCAGCTACTCAAAAGACCACCAATGACCCGTACTTGTCTACGCCTCCCCCATCCATGAGCTCGTTGAGCCCTTCTGGTGTGCCTGGTTTTACCACGCAAAACATTAATCAGACCCTAGGCTTCGGTCTCGAACCGGAGATCCCATCCTCCCTCAGTGGTGGCAATCACGGCGCATCCCCCGTGACTACCATCTCTGATGCCACCCGGAACACCATTGTGAACGCCCTGTCCCAGTGTCTTCCCTACAGCAGTCGTAAACTTTCCTTCAGCAGTTCACATGGCCTGCCCCAGTCACCCGGTACACAGTCTGGTCAAGCGAATTCAGTGCCCAATGTTGAGGACTTGCAACGCTATGTTGGGGCCTATCTCACCTACTTTCATCCACACATGCCCTTTATACACATACCCACACTCTCTTTTGATCCAAACTCGTCCCACCATGGTGGTATGAGTGGCATAGGCGGCAGTGGCTGTCTCATACTATCCATGGCCGCGATCGGGGCCCTGTACGAGCGGGAGCTTAGTACGTCGCGCGAACTTTTCGAGATGGCCAAGAAGATGATTTTCTACTACCTCGAGGAACGGCGCAAGACTGATGTCCGCAAAGCTGACGTGCGACGGAGCACGCTGGGTCCGGAGCTCGGCCATCACCACGAACAAGCGACCCACACGCCGGTATGGCTGGTACAAGCTATGCTGCTAAACGTTGTATATGGCCACAACTGTGGTGACAAGACTGCCGCAGACATTGCGTCGACTCATTGCGCAGCTTTGGTGAGCCTAGCTCAGGCTTCGGATCTCATGCGACCCGTCCGCGTGGGCCGGGTTGAGCCTCAGGACAGCACCATGGACGACGATGACAGCTGGAAGAGGAGGACCGAGCAAGCGGAGCAACTCGAATGGCTTCGATGGAAGACAATGGAGGAACGCAAGAGGACGCTCTACGCTGTTTTCATCATGTCGAGCCTCTTGGTTTCCGCATATAATCACACGCCAGCCTTGACGAATTCCGAAGTCTTCCTGGATTTACCTTCAGATGAGGAGTTCTATTCAGCCGAGTCGAGCACCGCTTTCGCTGCGATGGGCGGCATCAGTGCCACGGACCACAACCGCATGACTTTCCACGATGCCCTTGGCGAACTGCTGCGTACCAACGAGCGGCAGCACATGCTGGGACCTGCCGGTGGATTTGGGCTTGCGTCTGATCCCGATGAGCTGCCCAAGACAGACCTGACCCCAAGCACTTTTGGTTGCCTTGTACTGATCAACGCCCTGCACAATTATATCTGGGAAACTCGCCAGAGGCATCACAACAAAATCTGGACGAACGAGGAGACTGAGAAGATGCATCGTCATATCGAACCTGCGCTCAAGGCCTGGCAGGCCGCTTGGGCGAACAACCCTAAGCATCGTCTGGAGCGGCCGAACCCCTTTGGCTTGGGGCCGCTCTCTTCCGACTGTATCCCGATGCTGGATCTGGCTTACATTCGGCTGTTTGTGAATATGTCTAGGTCCAAGGAGAGATTTTGGCAGCGCGACTACGATGGAATGGCCATGGAAATCTCTAAAGGCATGGGAATCGCCGAAAACGCTGGCGTCGATAGGTCGGACGCGGCATCCGAGGATCTCAGTCCGACAGGCACCGGTCCTGTGGCGACGGATGGCATGGAAACCAACCAATCTTCCACCAACCCGAGCCGACGAGAGAAGCACTTGCGCAAGGCTGCGTTCTTTGCCGCCGGCTCACTATCCATGTCTGACAAGCTCAACTTGACATTTTCCGAGAATCGAGAGCTGTCTCTCCAGTCCACCATGTGCGCCTTTGACTGCGCTCAAGTTCTTGCCGAGTGGGTTGCATCTCTGCAAGATAGGGTCGGAGGCTATTTGGGTATGCTTGGTCACGATAAAGTGGATTTCGCGCAGATGCCTGCGCTCATGCTGCTCGAAGAAGAGGACATCATATTGCTCAAAAAGGTGGAGGAGCTCCTGTCCTCTGTCGAGATGAAGATGAGTCTCGAGGCCGGACACGGCACAAACGGACCAAACATTACGGCCGATGGTCATCACGGTTTCGCGGCCAAGATTCTACGCGTTACAGCATACACACTCAACCGCTCAGCGGTGTGGCCTGTGACCAATCTGACTGCCCAGTGCCTCGAGACGCAGGCAGCGTATGCTAAAGCGCGCGCAGAACGATCGGTTGTAAATGTATCGATTTGAACATGTACGCCTCAACTACATCAGACTAGCAAGCAGATACGGAAAGATGTTGGCGAGGAGCTTTGGCGTTTGCTAGTGTATCAGCTTCTACGACAACGACTGGGCGTCACCTGTGGGCTTTTTTCTTTTTTTCTGAGCCTTTGTTAGGGTTTGGATGGATGTACAAATAATCTATGTATGTAGTCGTGTCATAGCCAGTCTTTGAAAATCATGGTTCGACACATTGGTGATGCCTGTGATAACAGCATGGAGCGCTGCCTGCCCGAGTGACTCACTGAGGTGCCCAGATTGTGTGTAATGAGTGGTGTGGGTGGATGAACATTTTTCAGCTCGCGATCCGTACTGTCTCTTCTGCAAGGCTTCAGCATTGCACCATCTTGTCATTGGCTTATTTATCGTCGTAATCGTCTGGCAACGTGCTTCGAGCGGGCGGATCTCCCTTGGACGACGAGTCGTGACTCAACTCTCGTCAACTTGAGCAGGCCACCACCGTCGTTACTCTCCTCCCCCATCCCTTACCAAAGGCCAGGTCATTCTTACTTGACACCGAGCTCATCCCTCGTATAAAGCGCTACTCCATCACCGAAATACCACACTGAAATCGCATTATAATGTCGCATCCACCAGGAGTAGCACCGCCTCCTGGCGCGCTCATCCGCCCGCCAATCACCTACAGCTTCGCGTCACCAGATACTCTGCGCCAATTCGCGGTGTCCATGAAGCAGTGGCTCACGAACAACGACAAGCATTTCCACGGAGTGCACGCGTCCGCTGTCGTCTTCAATGCCTCGGGCACCAAGGCCCTCCTCCTCCAACGCGCAGCACACGACTCGATGCCTGGCCGATGGGAACCCGCCGGCGGCGCCATCGACCCCGGGGATGAGACCATTCTACAGGGCTGCGCGCGGGAGCTGTACGAGGAGGCCGGGCTGAAGGCGAAGCGGATCGTGAGACAAGTTGGCTCTGGCGACGCTTTCACGAACCGGACAGGGACGCATATCTACTGGCGGCTCGCTTTCGAGGTCGAGGTGGAAGACGCGTATGATGTGATAAATGACCCGAATGAACATGCGGGCTGGATCTGGGCGTCGCAGAAGGAGATCGAGGAGGAGAGGCGGGAGGAGAATGGAGAGGAGATCCCGATTACGACGGCGCGGATGAAGAAGACGCTGTTGGATGCGATCCGTCTGAAGAGGGACGCTGGGGAGATCCAAGACTAGACAGCGATGAGGTGACCACAACGTACGCTGCCTTTGAAGAATAGAGATCTTAGTGCATCACACCCGGTGTAGCTCTTTGTGGCATCGCAAAACAACCTTGATGAATTAGAAACGCGACTCCTGCAAATGTAGCGGCAGTCTAGTATGAAGTACAAGGGGTATAGTATAGCCCTTTCACTCGATATACACAGTCAAACTTCCCCCCAGCTATATGATATAAACAATACGCAAGTCTCTGGACCCATCAACCACTCCGCCAGGCAGGCGTCGATGACGTCCTCATCAACAACAAATGCCCCCCACTGTGATGCGCCCTCCTCGCACGCACCTCATCTCCACAGTCGAAAGCACTTGCTAACCCTGGGCAGGGCTCGCAGGTAGACTCTAGTCTCCCAGGGGCATACCCTCAAGCTCATCTATAAGCTGGCGCCAGTTGTCAGCGAGCATCTCTGCGTACTTGACGCGCTCGCCCGCCCAATCCTGGTTCCAGCGGCTGACATGGTATTGGCTCGACTGGAAGGTGATGAGCTCGTCGCGGAGACACTCTTTGATGAAAATGCTCCTGTTGTGCTGCTGCACGATGGATTCTTTAGCCTATCGCTTTGTTAGTGCTTGTCCAACGCTCTCGCTCATAATCACGTACCTTGATGATGCTCTCTGCCACACGCTCTACCTCGCCAGCTTTAGTTGTGCCTTCGGGCTTGGATCGCAGGCTGGCCAGCCTGGTCTCATTGGATTGGATCTTTCTCTCCAAGGAAGGGATGTTGTCCTTGTCCAGTCGCTCTCGTCGCTCAAACATCTCCCGCACGCTCACCAAGGCATCACGTTGCCGCTTCAAGTCCTCGAGCACACCCTCTTCCCAGCCTTTGCTCTCGTCCACGAGCAGGGTCTGTGCGGTTTGGAGGTGCTTGCTCATCGCAGTGAGGCCGTCGTTCAGCAGAGGGATCTCGTTGGTGTCTGTAGCATAGGTGTCGGCAGAGGTCTCCGTGAGGCTCGCTAGGAGTGATGATACCCGCCCGTGATCCGCAGCGACACCCTCTTGCCTCTTGACTAAACGGTCCATAATGTTGCAAATGTTGATGTAAAGCTCAGCCGAGCGTTTGACACCAGCCTGGACTCGGCTAAACAGTTCCTCGAGCCCACGAGGCAGCGATTCCTCCAGGCCGGGAGGTAACGCACGCTCCTGAAACTCGTCCTGCACAGAGATGCTTGCCTGCTTGCGCCAGACGGACAGTTCCTGATGCTTGTCAGTTTAGCGAAGAGCGTACGCACTGGGACGGGTGATCTTACGGTTGGTACTGTCAAAAACATGACAACAAGCTGTTCTTGGTTCAGAATTGGGTGTCTGACCAGTGCATTGAGGAACCTGGCCAGCCCACGTCGTCTTTTCTCAACAAATGAGTTGTCATTAGACAAGTGGTTGCCGTTAACGGCAACTCGCTTGGGAGGCAGCAGTGGGAGGACCCGGAATGCGTAGCGTTTATGCAGACAATCGAGCAACCACACAAAGTCGCTATAACGCCTGACGACCTTGCTGCCTCTCCTTTGGCTTGTTACCTCGTAGTTGTGGTGCTGGAACATGAACAAGCCCTCTTTCTCTGGCATCAACGTCACCAAGATAGCCTCCTCGGGTCCAGCGCCCTGTCGACCAACGGACACCCTCGGTGGCGCCAGCGGGTTGTTACGCGGCATACCGCTCGCCCCTTCGGCCCCGATACCACCTGCAGCGCCGACAAAGGGACTGGCGTGCTGCTCCTGGCCACCATAGCCGTGTCCAATGTTGGCTCCAGCGCCAGCACCGGAGCCATCGAAGTACCCTCCCCAGCTACCGGCGGAACCGCCACCACCACCAGAAGCAGGGGTGTTTCCATTGGCACTGCTCTGCTGTGCATCATGGGATCTCGCGCCCATTGTTTCGACCGTGTGTTGGCTAATGGTTCGTCCGGCTATCAACGGCGAGGGTTCATCATCGAATCCATTTGAGCCGCTGCGTGTCCCGGCACCATTCGGTTTGGCATGATTATGGTTCTTATGCATGTCGGGGGTATTCCATGGGTCGATCTCAGGATCGTCCATGGTGGGACGAAGCAGGCGCGACTGCGAGTTCGACGAGTGATGCGAGGGCTGCTGTTGCTGGTGGTTGCCGCGCGACGGCGGTGAAAACGCAGTATCCTTGGCCGGAGTCTGGGGAGGTTTGGCAGCGAGCTCAGCGACAGGTGGGAGGACTGGCTCTGCGGTTAAACCAGCGAGCTTGGGCCTTGGTAGGTCTGTTGGATCAAGGTGTTAGCCAAAGATGACGCTGCGTAAGGTTGGCCCATCTAGGGAAGTCAGGGTCTCCACAATGACCTGAGATAGCGGGAACCAATTGATTAGAGGTCTTGGCAGCGATGATCACAGGCAGCCTCATCTCGAGACTCGTTGGAGGGAATCAGACAAAGATGGCTTACTTCTTCTTCGCTCATCCACACCGTCGAGGCTGATGATCTCTCCCTCTTGCGCGAGACCAACCAACGCCAACAGCACGTTGAATTCGTTGCGACTGAGACTCAGGTCGTCGGTGCGCGCATCAGGCGCAACCACGGACACGATGCGACTTTGCGTCGTTTGCTCCGGCAGCCTTGCGGCAGCAAAGATGCGTGCTATGCCATCTGCGCCGACACTGTGTCCTCCTGCGACCACAGTGTCGAATGTCTCGATGTAGCTCTCCGGCACATCACCAGAGGGAAGCAGGTTTCGGATTATCTCGGCGCGAGACTGCTGCTTCCGTGGCGTGGGCATCGACCAAGGCGAATCGTCACCCTCATGGGTGTCGTCGGCAAAGAGACTGCTAGACGAGGTCTTTTGCGACGGTTCGTCGTCGAACAAGCCAGAGGCGCCGCCGCGGCTCTTGCGTGGCGTGGAGACGGAGGGCTCGTCGCCGCCTGGCGGCGTTGTTCCAAAAAGTGACATTGCAATTATCGGTTTAATGAAATCTTATATCAGAACAGCCGTTGCCGGTTGAGAGCGGTGATGGTCGGGTCGTATGGGAGGGAGTCGAGCAAGGCGATGACGATGACGCTGTGTTGGTACCTGGGAACGTGCACGAATCGCATTCGGGGAAAGGAGATACAACCGTTGGTCGAGCAAAGCAGAGCAATTTGCACCGCAAAAAGACCAATCGCGCTCAGCCCAGATCAGAGACTACAACCACCCGAAAAGCGCGGCAAGTCAGTCAGACAGAGGATGAGTAGTGAGGTTATCCAGCAATGGAGGACGGACGAGGCAGGCCGGGGGGGGTTCTCGCGCATGGCAAGTGGGAGGTGGAGAATCGACGGCTCCTCTCCGAGACCAACAGGGTAGCTCAATCGCACCTCAACGACGACGGGATCTCCCTGCTCAATAAAGCACGGCAATTGCCGCTAGGACGCTGTAATATACAATAGTACATGTACATACTATACACCCTGTGTTCTACCCTCACCACATCGACTCTTCCTTGGGCTTCTTCACCTCCTCGGCCTCGGCCTTCTTCACCTTCTCCTTGCTCGGGACCCTGAAGTAGAGCGAAGGCGACTCGCCCTCCTTGAGCTGGTGGCTCAGGTAGCCCCTGTGCGCCGGATCACGGTAGTACTCGATATCCTCGCGGCTTGTGGGGTCAGGCAGACGGTACCTGAACCTCGTCTTCCGCGCCTCATCCACAATCTTCTCCACGTACTCCTTGCCCTGCGGCAGGGGCAGGTCCGTGTGTACCGATTCGCCGGATAGTAGTCGTCGCATGGAAAGCTTCGTGTAGTATCGTGTGAGGACCTTGCCGCCCGTGCGCTCAATGCCCTCAATGGCGCCGGCGGACGCGCGCGAGGCGACAATGTCGATGGGCTGCTTGAGAGACATCTTGCCTCGCGCGAGAAGCTTGATGCCGTCCCGCACGCTACCCACCAAGCGGCTCTCGATGAGCTCCTTTGGTGTGATTCGTTTCGTTGGGTCAATGCGGCCTTGGTCGATCCAGCTTTGAAGCTTGTCGAGGTTGACCTCGGACATGACAGGGGCACGGCTGCGAGCTGGTTAGCTTTCCGCTATTGAAAGAGGGGACAGAGTCGAGAGAAATCCACTCACAGGTTGTCGAATCCGTGCCGACCCTTCTGGACAATCAAAGGTGTTTGACCACCTTGGAACCATGGATTCACCTTGCCGTGCTGCCCCTGACCCTTGTGACCCCTTCCTGACGTCTTTCCATGTCCAGAAGATGGACCACGACCAACACGCTTCCTTTTCTTGACGGCGCCGGGGTTATTCGAGAGGCGACTGAGGACAGAAGCCTGACGCGTTTGCTGCGATGACGGCTGCAGCGAAAGGTTCGCCAGGAGAGCGGCCAGCGGCGAAAATGATGATGCATTCGACGGCGTTCGACAGCATTGCGCCGCAAGGCTCGATGATAGTAGCCGTGGCACCATTTTGATTGATCGGGGATGCGCGAATGGCACTCAACGGTGAAACGCGAGCTATCAATGGCGGTTGACACAACGGCCAACTTTTTTCGGGGAGCAAGGAGCGAGGTCACGTGGGCTCCACGTCAATGTCTTCCAAGTTCCCAACACCAATGTGCCCATCAGCGATATTCACCGTTGACATGGTAGTATCACCACCATATTCGGCTTTGCTTTGCAATTTTTAGTACTTTTTTACTGTTCAGTGAGTGCGAAAGTATTGACAAAAATTCCAAGTCGATTGCCAAACGAGAAAGACTCCATGAGCCGAGCTGCACTCCAATCAACTCCCCTTTTACCCAGAATACTACAGTTTCGTAAACCTCTGTATGTCTATGCCAAACTTTTCCAACTCTATGTGGTATAGCCTCATAAAAGGCAAATCAGCCAAAGTGAAAACGCCGGTCGCTGAAAGCCACCTATTGCCGCCGTAGTAATTCGAGTCACCCGTCTCTTGCAAAGCGTCCAACCAACCCCAGTTCTAATTACGTAGCCCCAAAGACAAACAATGTACAGAGATCATCATGGGTTGGCCCAGCCGCCCGCAACATCTACCCACTCTGCAAGGCATGAGCCGTCTTTGCCCTCTACATCAACAATGTCGGTATCGCACCGGCAGCGACACCCGACACCGTTTTCTCTCTCTTCGTCGTAATCGGCCCAGTACGCATCCTCTTCTTTGCGACGCTTCTCATCGGGGTCTGCCATTTCGAAATACGGTTCTCGGGGTAATTGTCCGTCGGGCGCATTTGCCGGACAGTGCTGGATTGTGGTGTGTCGGTAGCCAAAGTCACGGAAGTAATGGATGTCTTTCGGTGACAACAGGACACCGGCGGCCAGTGAATGAATGGGAGCATCTCCCCACTGCATCTGTTAGTAGCTGACTATGTTCAAGCAGCGGTCATGAAACTCACTCTCTCCATCCAGAAGCCCCCGCTGCGGTCCATCATCTCGAAAAAGTCGTTGTACTCCTTGCTGCGGAACCAGCTGAGACGCGCAATCTCAAAGTTGGACCAGAAGTGGCACATGTTGTACTTTTCGCCCTCCATCGCTTCGGGGTCGATCTTCTCATGTGAGTGCTTTCTGGAGTCTTTCTCCAGGATCTCTTCTGGGAGCGGAGGGTTCTTGTCACTTTTAACGTCCTCCAGTTCTTCCTCCGACGGAGGCTCCACAAACATCTCCCACATGCCTTGAGATTTGATGTTGTTGAGACGCTTGTACGCCGAAGCATATCGAAAGATGTTGGGAACCGTCTCGCGAAGCTCCTTGACGGCAATGGTGAAACCATAGGTCTTGTTCGCCTCAATCATTTTAAGGAACGGATCGCTGTGACGGGTTAGCAAAATCCGGAACCGCGCCCTGACCAAGAAACCTACTATGTGATGTCGCAGAAGTATGTAATCTCTGGCTCGACACGCCAGTACCACTCATACTTCTGTAGCAATGGGTGGTTGTAGAAAAAGCCGGAGTAGAAGCGACACATTGCGTGGTAGCTCTCTAGCCCTCCGTACATGACTGCTGCGTCGCCTTGCTTCGCAATGCCCTCCTTGGCCACCTTGGGGTCGATCCAGTCAGGAAACCCCCAAGTATGCGGTTCTACCACCCCGAATTCGACGTTTGAAGAAGCATATTTCGCCACCGTTTCCTTGAATGTCTCGTTGAATTCAACGTCATTGAGGAAAACGTACGGATAGTGGTACCATCGATTGAAGTGGCGCTCGACGGACTTGATCGACTGAATGACGCCGTCAAGCTCCTTGTTCCGCGCAAGGACGACGAACGCGGCATTTGCGCGAGGTTGCGAAGTGTCTGGTTCGAGGCAGCCCGTCGCAAAGACCTTGTCGTGCTTCTCGCTGATTTTCCTAGGGCGCGTAAGTGCCACCTCGCCTCGAAGAATCTCTCCTGCACTGACCTGATGGCTGGAGACGCCCCTGCAGGCATCAATGATTGCGATGAGGAGCCAGGATGCATCACGAAGAGCACCAGTATTAAGACCAGAACCAATGTTGGAAACACGATCATCACCCCCACCGGTACTGATACCGATGAATTCCCCCGTAATTTCAGGGGCTTCTTGAAAAAGTCTAGCTTTGACGACAGTGTCTTGCTCTTGCTTCTACTGCTCTTGTCGTCGTCTAATGATGGTAGCTGGATCGCGCGAGTCGACGCACCCCTGGCCCTCCTAACTGGCTCCATGGTGATGCGATCTGTCCTGCCACTCGGCAGGTGTAACTTCGTCGGCCAATTGTGCTTATTGTTTGTAGATGTGCGCCCGTCGCAGGCTGTGATCACTGTCGGCAAGCAAATGTTTCGCGCGATATTCTGCCGTCAGGAGCGTGGATTGCTCAGGATCGATATATTGGAAACAGATGAACTGTGGACGAATCAAATACCCTGGTCACCGTACGCTTGTCGTTATCGTTTCGGCTTCTTCGATCGGTCAGGCTGTCGATGTCTAGCCCTGTGCGAAGGTATGTAGGACGAGGTGTAAGTCGGAAGTGGGAAGAGTCAGGCAGCTTGTTTCAAATCGCCAAGCTATCAGAGTCCGCGACAGCTAATCGTGCGCTTTGGAGGGTTTAGTGGGAAAATGAGGACCGATCAGCGCAATCGACCCGTTTATCGAGGGTCAGGTACGTATGCCGGCTGGATGGCGGGATTGGGAGCAGGCCAATGGAGGTGGACCTGGCGAGTCGCGACTTGATGATGTGGAAGCTGGTGGAGCTGCCAGAGCGAAAAGGGGCAAAGAGATGTCTTCTAGGCGATTCTATTGGTCCGGCAGCTGAGATGTCTCGATAGTTACGACTGTATCGTAATCGTAGGTATCCTTAGTTGCGTGCTCTGTGTAGGGGATAAGACCTGTGCTGTTGCTTTTGATGTGCTACGAAATGCACCGAGTAGCAGCTGGTGGGTAAGGTAGTCGACGCCAAGGTTTGCACGCGTGCAGCTTGCCAGGTCTGGCAGACTCTGATCCCTAGAGATAGGACCCATTATTATAGTGTATTTACCAATGAGCGGTCCCGAAATGCTACTTCCACGAGGGACCCGGATTTCAAGCTTCAAGTTACAGACTGCCTGTTCCTTGGCCTCATGCGAGCATCTCATTTCACAAACAAGAGACTTGTCTGCACGCTGCAGGTCGGGCGCCTACTCTCAGCACGCCATGTCTCAAAAGATCACAGGCAAAACTTTATCGTACGACACGTCTTTACCACCATTCCTACAGGCCTTACGATCACAGAATGGCAGTAGTGACCAGCCTCAGACAACGGGTCAGAGACGCGCTGCGAAGAAGCGCTCGGAAAGCGAGGACGCCGAAGACGTTCCAGTCGTTGTCGATGAGGATGGCAATATTGTGACGGTTGAGGTTGATAAAGAAGGGCAGGTGAAGCCAGGGGAGGCGCTCAACCCAACGACTGTGCAAGGCGCTGAAAAGGATGGGGTGGAGGAATCAAAGACGGATGCTGAGACCGCCAAAGCTGCCATTAGAGGCCGGAAACGCAAGGTAGGCAGGCTCATCGGTGACGCTGGGAGCCCTGCGGAACAGGACGAGAAGGACGGGGCAAAGGACAAGGTCAAGCAAGATGAGGCGCCCAAAGCCAAGAAACCCAAGAAAGCACAAAAAATCAAGCTCAGCTTTGATGATGAAGATTGAGCGTGTGCCTACGCTTCACTGGCCTACACAAAGAGTGCCCTTCACACACACAGGATCAAGCATGGCAGTCGCCGCATATGACACCGGCTGTCGACGTCCTGGCTTCGGATCACCTGCGCACATCGTGACACAGGACTTGAAATCTACTTCAAGGTTTCAATGGGCGCCAGTCACGGCACGGGAAGACGCACGAGGAGAAGACGCTTCGACGTAGTTTTACGTTGGAATACAAAAGAAACGAGTCATCGTAATCTACAGCCCATCCGGCGGGGAATCGCTGTCCCTCTCCATGCTACTTCTTTGTTACACCCCCAATGAAAACTCCAGGTCCTCAACTAGCGATCCGCTTATCGGTAGCGGTACTCAGGCTTGATGTAGTCGGCAAAGGTCTTGGGCTCCTCAAGGGCAGGGTCGTGGTGGTCGTGGTGATGGTGGTGGTCGTCCTGGGGACCAACGAACTCCATCTTGTAGACGCTGCCGCACTCGGGGCAACGCTCGACGGGGCGGTCGCGGGTGACCTATACAGTCAGTCAGCTCTGCACCATCGTCCCATGGTCCTTTGCACAAAAAACAACATACACGCAGCCATGCGACACCGTGGGAGTCGGCCGGGAATCCGGTGCAACCGGCAAACTGCTCGTCGCCGGCAGACTTGATCATGATGGGGTCCTCCATCGTGCCGAGGCGGCTGGCGTCGAGTGGGCGCATGTCGAAAATGTCAACACCCTCCATCTTTCCGAGAATCTCGAGACGCTCGAGACCGGTAGCCTGCTCGAGATCGGTGGGGACAGTGCCGGGGGCAGCACCGGGACCGAAAAGGTCCTCCTCGCCCTTCACCTCTGTTCAATGCCTTTGTCAGCCCATGATCGGTCGAGTATCGCCCAACCATCCGAGGCGCGTCACGCACCATTGAAGACCTTATAGTGGCCAATCTTCTTCTCGGCAGTACCAGCAAGAGCAGCGGCCTGCTCGTTGGGGGTGGAAGGATTCTTGGGGGCCTCGCCTAAGTCATCCACCGTGTCAGCCCAATGTTCCCATTCCAAGCTCGGTTAACCAGGATTTTTTCGGAGTCGACGTACAGCGGACAATGGAGGTGGTGAAGCTGCGGGTGGCAAAGCGAGCGGCGACAGGAGCGCGGCGAGCCGCGACGGCGACAGTGCGCTGGAGGAACATCGTGGAGTCGGGTTCGGAGGGTCGGTAATGTGGTGATGCAGTTGGAGAGGGTGTTGTCGAGGGATTTGTGCAGATGGGCTCATCTGGCACGACGTTGGAGCGTGGATCCATCTTCGGAAGTCAATTGACCAATGAACGAACTTGTGTACAATCACGTGACTCGTAAGCTCCCGAGCTATGGGGCGTCATCAGGCCACATGAAGTATCACGGCTATTTGCGTGGACAGTTAGTCGCATCGAGAAATCTCAATGAATCAATTTCAGGGTATCATGCTTCATAATACAGCCTCAAGGTCCTGTCCGCCGACGCCTTCGTAGCAAATGCAACAGATGCTGCCAATATTTCGACCCTTTTCCCGCAACGCCATTCAGCCTGAGCTCACAACAAACATAGCAACTGTGATGCTGCAGGGACGGGAGAGTCGAATGATAGTCAAATGTATACAATCAGGACCCGCAAGGACCGCCGTTGGGTGCAGTATGGCCTTGAGTTTGACCACTGCGTTGCTGACGATACGCGTTGACTCCGCCGTAGGTCGACTGTTGTGCTAATCGAAGTCTCTTCTCCCTCCGCTCGAGCTCTTTCTCCCTTGCAGCCTGCTCGGCTTCCTCACGTAGCCTTTTGGCACGTTCATCCCGTGCCTTGCGCCCGCCGACGTTCATGTCGTAGGTTTGCTGGCTGCGGCGATTGATCTGGTCCTTGAAAGCAATGCGCTCCTGGCGTTCATTGATCTTCTTCTGGACCTGGTTTATGCCGTTGCTATAGTAAGGCTTCGATTCTTTGGTCCGACCAAAAGTCTTGCCTGATGGTTGCTTGAGCTGGTACGCAAAGGCTGTCATCATGCGCAGCATCTTGTCGTCGGAGCTGTGCTTGTCTATCATGTTTGTGATAACTCGCTTGGCAGACTTTCTCTGTTCATCCGGTAGCTTGTGCCGGCTTCGGCGGATAGCTGCCTGCCCAATCCTCCAGCGAAGGAAATCCCAAGGTTGCATGGTTAGCTCGCCGTGTTGATAGAGGATCTCCAGGTCGTACAGGCGAAGGGCAAGACTGTACATCGTCTCCTGCTCGCACAGACCATCGTCTGGGAGGTATCGCTTACTGATGACTTGGTTCGGGTGAGCGATTGTAGTAGGGCCGAACATTTTGCCAATCTTGTGTTGTTTTGAACAGTTGTCGGAGTGACGCTTGGCAGTATCAGCAATAAGCTTTCTCTGCCTCTTCTGCTCTGCAGTTATAGGCACGGCTTTCTTGGCTTCTACCAACCGGGCTGTCCACTCTGCCTTCAGCCGCTCCTCTTCTCCTTCACGGGCAATATAAGCGTCCAGTGATCTCCAGTGTCGATTCCAGTACGGAGAGTCTTCGCTGATTTTGTTGACCGGTACTCCTCGCATGCTCTCGGGATGGGTATACGTGTTGCCATCTTCGCTCACGCGAAACTCGACTGTCTCTGATAAGTACAGTCTCAATGCGTCGATGTCAAGATCGTCAGAGCCACGGTTAGCATTCGTTGTTTGATCGAGACCAACATCGGATTTAGACATGTCGACCATTGTCCATTTTAGGCCTTAGCTCCCAATAATGTAATACCGTTGTTCGTTTAGTAGTGGCTTGACTTGCTTGTAAGGCCGTCGGACATTGGTGCCGTAATCCGCTCCTATACGTTTAGAAACCACTGTAGAGCTTATTGTGATATTAGTACAAGGGCCTGGGTGCGAGACTATATGTTACTCACCGCGGTTTGCTGAATATAGCTCGGGTATTTCTACACGATTTGCTAGGTTTAGTTGTGAGCCGCGTGTGGTCGTAGTATCACGAGGGTAGGTACAAAGTCGTAATCAGGAGCCGGGGCGGCAAGGCGGGGGGAGGCGCGTTAGAAGAGCGTGTAGGATAGAAAGAAGTAAACAGTAAGAGGTCACGGTAAAGATTATCTACGTAAATAAATAACATCAGAAGGGGCCAGAACCTTGTTGGCGTGTTATCTACCGGTGAGTGACGTTAGCAGTCACACAATACCGTGACCGCCTAGCTGCGTACAACTATCAGACGATAGTTCTGTCCTACCCTACGCCCCACTTAGTCTCGCGAAACGATAACGACATGCGTTTAGTAAGATAAAAATCAATGAAGGGTTTACTTACGCGATTGTTTCGTTTTCTAGACATTGTGCCTGTTGCTTTATTAGCGTTTTCTAGCATGCTAACTTGAGAGCTCTGGCTGACCATGTAGAGACGACAGGCAGCTTCATTCAAATGCTGAGCACTCTCAAACACTCCCATTGCGCGACCTTGGTAATTGTGATGATGAGCCCACCTTACAGAGAGGCTAGGCTCATTATCACAATAATTGAGTTTCCATCCTCACGACCAAAACGAGGCATTCAATTGCAATTTCGCATCCATTTATGTTTGTTGCAAAATGTAGAAGCTGAGCGTCATTCTACCCCATGGGGCCAAATGCGCTCCACCATTCCGGCTAACGTACTAGCAGTGTTGGCAATGCCGAGGTCCAGCTGCTCCTCCTATTGAACCTCGCGTCTACCTATCAACATTAGTGTTCCTAGAACTGTCACTTTGAAAATTTCAGGAATCTAGACGTCAGGACTCAAGAGTCGCATGTTGCACGCGAGATAATGACAGACGAAGCTGACGACGACAAGACTTTTATCCGGCACTCCTTCCAGGAATGTATGCAGCTCACGCGGGTATCGAGCGCAAATAGCAAGGATGCACAGCGATACATGAGCCACCAGCAGCCCTGGAGGCCAGGACAGGACTTGGGATGGAGCATGAGCACGCAAAGGAGCCCAGAGCGCGCGAGGAAATTTGCTCCGGGCACGTACGGGGCTCATGTGTACGCCCAAGCATCGTACGCAGCTTCAAAGGCAATCAAGGACGACAAGTCTATACAGCACGCCAGTCAACTTGCCATTTCCGTGAGTCCCATTGTAGATCGAGCCGCCTACTTCTGAGCTGACCCAAATTAGTCCATACAAGGCGTCTTCTCCCGCCCAGGCCTCCAGGACAGACCGTTTATTTATGATGTGTCAAGTATCAGTACGGGACGGTCCTTTTCTACACAGCTTGTGGTTGCACGCCAGCCTTTCGAGCCATCTACGAAGCCTGAGGGTCCTTTCCCGCTTTCTGAAGCAGATCTCCCTCTCGATGAAGTGGCCTTCGCAAGCCTGACGACCTTCAAGAGGTCCACAGACACGCCGTCAGAGGTGCAAGAGCGGGACTCACCACAGGTTCGCTTCGCCGAGATTTTGCAGACGAGAGCGCCGGATGAGTGGGAGGCCTGTCCCCAAGCCGACATTGATCTCGTGCGCGAGACGTTCCCCATGAAGGGACATGGGTCCTTTCCCGTGTTGGACATGTACAAGGTCGACATGACGGGGTACAATGCCGGCAAGGATATTCCGGATCGACGGCAGCTGATGTTGTACCGCCTGCACAAGCCAGTCCCTGAAGAAGACATCAATGCACACATCCTTTGCCACGCGTACGAGTCAGATCGAAATGGGCTCATTATGCTTGGGAACCACCTCGGCTATGGATATAGCCTGGGTCCCGCGGCCACGCTGAGCTACAGCTTCTTCATTCACGTCAATGGCGACGAGGCGGTCATGAGAGGCGACGGATGGTGGGTTCAGGAGATGTGGTGGCCTCGGGTGAGTGCGGGACGTTGCATGCAGGAGACAAGATTATGGAGCCCTGAGGGGAAACACGTTGCCAGCGGATACCAGGACGGGATGGTCTTGCCTGCGAAGAAAAGCAAGATCTGACGAGTACATACTTATACATATATACATACACCGGATACCATGTCGCGGTGAAGCCTGAACCTCTGTCATGCGGGCCTCTACATACCCAGACCGCTCTGGAGGCCTTTTCAGGGACGTCGCTGGGGTGTCGTCATGCTGCCTAACTTGACGACCCTGCCTTGCGCCTGATCAAGTCCGCAGGAGGACAGAGCGCGCCGACAGTGCGGCATGTAATCAGCGACGAGATCGCAGGGCACCCATCCGACTGAGAGTGTCGTTGGAAGAAGACCACCGAGCTCTATGAAAAAAAAAAAAAAAAAAAGCCCATTAAGAAGCGTCCACGCAATAGACCACCAGCAGGGATGGACTCCTAGCGAAGAGTCCTGGTTTGTTCTTGCCCTGCTATTGCCGGGCGTTGATTTCCGGATATCTCCGGCGCACGCCTGCCCAGGACTGCGGCCAACTGCCCACGCAAGTAGAGCGTGCTGACTGATACATGTTGCATCCGCGAGGCAGGTTTCGGCATCTCAGGACGAGCAGATTTACCATGCTGACCTGACTAAGCGATGAGCAAATCACTCATCATCCGACGCGGGTTCAGACTCGTCTTGTGCACTGCTTTCTTCGTCTTCATGGTCGTCTATGGTAATGGTTTCGCGGGGTTGTTCAGAAGGCTGTGGCATGCCATTGGCAGGGGCGCTCTCTGGGACAGGAGGAGGAGGAGGAGGAGGTGGTGGTTCTGGGCCGGCAATATTCGCAAGAAAAGCCCACGCAGCACTCTGCAACGTGCCGCGGGCCGTGACATGCCCAGTGTCCTCGCAAATGACCAGCTGCGCGTGGGCGATGTCTTCCTTGAAACCGATGCCGGCCTCGACCGGATTCATTACGTTTGCTTTGTTTGCCATAGCCAACGTCGGCGTCCGGATCTGCCTGAGCCAGGACCTGAGGTCGTAGTAAGGCATGTTCATGGAGTACGCAAAGTTGTGCGTCTCATGGTGCAAGAGCCGGGGCGCGAGGGCGATGTGCGGCTTATAGATGTGTCTGATCTCTGACACAGCTGCGGCAAAGTCTTCCTCGTCTACGCAGAAGCCAGACCAGAGCCTGAGCTGGCGGTCGACGTCTGGTTTCGGGCCTTTGCCCTGGTACGTTAGGACGGTTTTGAGATTCCCCATGGAGGCGTGGACACCGTGGACCCAGGTATCGTGAAGGATGAGGGCAGAAAGGCGCCTGGAGTAAGCAATGGCGTATTGCAAGGCGATGCAGCCGCAATAGCCGTCGCCGACCAGTGTGAAATGAAGATAGTTGCCAGCCCAGCGACTCAACTCTTCAATGTCGACGAGCCAACGTTGGTGGGTGAAAGGGCCCATGTCATCACTGCGGCCGCCGGAGCCCCTGAGGTCATATATCAGTAGACGAAATCGCTTGGCTAAGAAGCCGAACTTCTTTTGGGATTCCTTCGTGTCTGATACGCCCGGTGAGTCTTGAACTACGATAGCCAAGGGCAAAGTAGGGTCGTCATTGATGATGGCAATGCGCAGACGCGCCTTATCACGGAGCTGCACGCAAGTATTGAGCACCTTGGAGATGAGATGTCGACTGCTGCTGTTGCCAACGGCCACCGACTTGGGTTCATCTTCACCAAGCCATTGTGGCAGGCGTGATATACGTACAAGGCCCCACGCGCGGATTTGGATCTCGAGACCACGTCTGCCAACGTGATGCCCAGTTCGTTGCTTGATTATGGGTTCCATGATTCTGTGTATTTCTCGGTTGGAGTGCCCAGCCTCATGCAGCCCAGGAATCTATTGGCGGAATGGCTGCAGAATGGTGCGGGAGAGCCTGGGTCGGTGGCCTAGGTTCCATTGCTGCAGGGCGCGCCGGAGAGTGCACGTTGCAATAGGCCGATTACCACGCGCCTCTAACAATTCATTGACAGCAGGAAGCAGTGTTCCTGGCGTGTGGAAGGCAGGGTCATGGCCAAAATCTCAGATTTGATTGACTCGAGGTCGGCCGAGGGCCGACCTGGGTTGGCCTTGCGCGGCATGGAAACGGACACAGCGGGAGGACACCAGTGGTCTGAACTGTTGGGCGACGGTTGTCGATGTTTGTTGCTGAGCCCACCAAAAGAGGGAGGACGGGTTGTGAGTTTTGCCCACTCCCCTCGCAGGTTTATGGGGCATAGGGGTACAGATTTGATGTGAGTGGACAGATGGATATACAGAGCTGCTAACAGAAGATCAATGTATTGTCGGCTAGGTCTGATAGTGGTGACTTGAAGGTGGAAATACACCAGGCTCCTCCGCGTCCCCTTTACTTCGTACACGTAGTACCTTCCCTCTGATGCCTTGGCCGTCCTGGATACCTGAAGAGCAGGTGCCAGCTGTCATATCTTTTGAGAGCTCCAGTCAACAACCGTGATGACATTGAACTTCAACAAGCTCTCGTCCTTGAGCACCTGAAATTGCCGGGACGGCTACTATGCAACCCACGCAGTTTGGCGTCATCAGCAGACCTCAGCGACGGCACTTGCGCTGCACGTAACCTTACTGAAGTCATCCGTCTGTCCATCACCAGCCAGGCTGCCACCTGGTCGGTCGGCCATCATCTATCTACTATCTGTACAGGCCAATCATCGCACGTCGCAGAAGTGTCAGAAAGTTCGATGGAACTATCGGTAGGCCCCACACGCAACATGGCAATCAGTTTGCTAGTTGCCTGTCTTGGTAGCTGCTCCTCGACATCTGCACGTGTGAGCTGCTTTGGGTTGCCTGTTGTGGCTGAGACAGAAGGTAAGTAGTCGCTCGTCGGTCGCCTATCTAATTATCTGCCTTTCTGAGCTCGACTCACCGCCAGCGATCGTCACCGATGGTCAGACGTTCGACAGTCCATCGACTAGTCGTTAGTCCAGGGCCGACATCCGCGCTTGTTGCTTGCTTGCCAACCCACGTTGCCAAGTTTCGGCGCGATCACTGGCGGGCACACTAGTGGCTCTGCGAACTGACAGGAGAGCCTTCCGGATGCTCATGTCCAAAATCGCCGTTAGGACTTGAGAACTTGCGAGAGTGTGAACTCATTGTGCTGACAGCGTCCTCCAGTTCCCCGAGAGGGTTGATCACCTAACTAATACGTACTGCAGGTAGGTTACGTACGTGTATCCGTACGGACTACAAGGACCTGGGATGCTCGAGTGGATTTTTTCCGCCACCCAAATTCGAGGCCGTGGTTTCATTGACGAGGAGGTGGGGAGCTCCAGACTTTGGCTGCGGCTGAAGCTGCATCCACCACTCAGCCTGGAAGATGATTTCTCGGAGCAAATTGGCAGGTGAGAAGCAGGAAGGACGGTAGCTCAAGCCCCAGTGCTTTGCGCTGCAAGCCTGGTCCCGGGCCGCTGCGCTGCAATTCCTCTCTCGGCCTGATTACTGACAGGGCTGCTAGCAGGCCAAAGGACGGATGGCATCAGCAAGTAAGCATTTCTACAACACACATGCACCACGGAAAAAAGACTGGTCGACCATGGATCCTCACTCGTCGCCGCGGCTATTTTTGCAGCCGTCTGCAACCAGCCAACCATGTGCCAGCCATGGCCACCACCAGGCCTTCAGACCCAGCACACTCTGCCGTCCCTGTCGCGCCTTCTCGATTAGGGCAGCACAGTCCCCAGGAAGCAGACCTCTTCCCAACGAAACGCGGGGCAGCTGGGTCCATGAGGAAGAGAGAGGGGCGGCGCGCGCAGTGAATTGATGCGCTAGCTCGCTTACGAGCCGTCAGGACCGCTGCCTCCGAGCCAAGGTCATTGCCCTTTGTGCCATGTGCCTATGATGATCATCGTGGGCCTGTCAGATCGGCGTGGCCATCCATCAAATGGCAGAGTGTCACTCTGCTGGTTGATACCGGTTCTTCAACGCTTAAAGGACCCCTCTTTTCCCCAGACCTGGCTCTTTTGGACTTCTACTCGCCTCGCTCTCGACTTCATCGCGCCTGCGATAATTAGCTTTCCTAGACTAACCGATGCCTCGGGAGTGTGGCCAAGCGAGCCCGGTCACAGTGTGACTGCGCCTACATGAGCGAATAGCGACCCAAGGACCGGGTCTCCAATAGTCTCGACATTGCGCTCCCGTCCTGGATCCTAGGTCCTAGACTTCTAGTAGGTCCTAGACCGGCCGGTCAGTCAGATTTGCGCATCGAACCCCTGTTTCCTTGGCTAGGAGCTGGAGCCAACTGGCAACAGTATCGAGTCTCCCCAGTCCCGCCCACCCGCCCAGCGCAGCAAGCTACGGGCAATGTGCACCCTGGACGTGAACATGGACATCGCCAATTTGGAAGACACCATCATGGAGATGGCGTGAGTGCCCCGCAGGTCCAAGAGGGCGGTCCCTGGCTGACGAGTCATAGAAACTCCTTGACGCGTCTCAATAGTAGTGAGGCCAGCCCGGCAAGCAACAATCAGGGACAAGCCACGCCGAGAACCGCCGCCCCCACGGGGCAGCAGCTGAGAGGTTCTTTTTCACACGACATCAGCCCGCTATCCACATTCTCGGCGACGACCACCACTACCAGCACCTCTTCAGTTTCTCGTTCATACTTTTCCTCACGTTATAGCTTCAGCCCTGCAGCCTCCCCAGACTTGGACACTCACCAGGCCGTCATTCCTTGGCCCACTCTCGAAGGCGAGGCCACTTATATCCGTCCCTCACAGGAATTCCTCGAACAGAGGCGCTCTGCCACGGCGCGGAACAGCGTTGCTCACCCAGGCCGGCGCCTCTCCATCGCCTCTTCGGCTCACACGCGATCATCGTCCTGTGCCTCCAGCACCACATCCCACATGTTGGGAACGAGCCCCTTCCCGGCTCCGCTCAAGCCTCTACCGCCTGTGCCGGCCTCGGTCAGGACGTCTCAGCGCACATCATCACAGCCGTCCTCATGTGACAAGTCGTCCCTCGACATGGACCGCCTCTCACATGCGTCGAGCACGACCTCGTCCAACCTGTCGAGAGCGTCCATGCAGTCCTTCAGCGTGCGACCGCCCGTCCCTCGCCGCCCGCCAGAGCACCTGCGCCCGTCTCTGCCATCGTCCCCAGACACCCGCAGGCTATATCCCCTCGAAATCGTCTACTGGAAACAGCTCGCTGGTGCCGAGAAGCGCAAGAGCGGCAAGACAAACATGGTGCACTATCTCGACATCTCCACCAAGGCTTCCACGGTGGCCACCAAGCATGGCAACAGCGTCATCAAGTTCTGGGAGGTCTCGTCGGGGGATCTGGTCTGCACCGTCAAGATCTCCGCCTACACCGAGGCGCACTGCAGGTCGCGTGACTACCTGATCCGCAGCCACCTCATCCTGTCCGAGACCAACCATCTCGCCGCCATGGCCACCCGCTTTGGCCGCACCATTGAAATCTGGGACTGGAAGACCAACAAGAGGCTCCAGGTCATTGACGACGTCGACCGGTGGGTGGCCGGTCGTTTCGAAACGCACGACGTTGGCTGGAGTCCGCTCGTGGCCTACCGCGGCAAGGACGCTCTGATCGACCTGTTTACGGCCACGCCGCAGAAGAAACCGTATGTCAAGGTCCGCACCATCGACGTTCGAAAGGCCGGTCTACCGTTCACGCCGCAGTACCCGGAGCTGGCACTGTCCTCCACCAGTCCACTGCTCGTCGCCGCCGCCGGACCCCGTCCGCCTCGAGCGGGCCACCCACCGCCCGACCGGGAAACGATGCTGGTGACGTGGGACATTACCGACTTTCGGGAGGTCTCGAATGCCCCCGACCGCGTCGTCAGACCGTGGCAGCACAAGGAGCTCGAGACAGCACTGCCGTGCAACCTGACAGCCTACGGGGACCTCATCCTATCCATCTGGATCCCCTCGGGCTATCGCACCGTGACAAAACACAACGCGAGGGGCGAGGTGGAGTACACGTTGGCGCCCACGCCGGTGCCATTCCGCTACGTCCTCGTGTGGGACCTGAGCGAGAACTCGACGCGCACGTACGGCATCCCCAACACCACGTCTTGCATCTCGCCCGACTGCCGCTTCGTGGCGTACAGCCAGGTGGCCGAGCGGCGGAGCAAGATCGCCATCCTGGACGCACAGTCGGGCGAGGAGGTGTGGAGTGCGGGCGGCGAGGGCAACCTCAAGTCGCTCGATCAGTTCGGTGACTTGTCCAAGGTGACGGATCTCGCCTTCTCCGCCGACGGGCGGTTCCTGGTGGTGGGCGAGGTCAACGGCAACACGAGCGTGTACGACGTACGGGAGTCGGCGCTGTAGTCTGGGTCCGTGTCACTGTGATATCGTGGAGTGCTGGTCAGGCGTTTTCGGCAGATACCTTTTTGTCATTTTTCTGGGGGGACCGAGTGTTCATGGCGTATCTTGCAGTTTGTGGGTATTATGCATCTCTCTGTATCTACATGGGTTTTCCTTCTGCATGTACATGTGCTTTCCCGAATATACATGTATTTCTTCCGAGATATCTCTCAGTGATGATCATTGCCGCATTTGACTTTTATATGTGTCTATCTATCTATATACGCCCGTAGTCCTTTTCCGTACTGTTGACAGAGGGGCTCGTACTCCCCGAGGGGTCTGGGTATCGCTGATCCCGATCCTTGCCGTGTTCCATCTCGACGACGACAGACGTGACCGTGTCCATCTGGATGGCGGCGGTGCCCCGAAGAGACTCCTGACTGACGCTCCGCGTGCCCGCCGGTCGACGGTCGCCCCGCGCCGTCCTCTCCGTGTCGGAGCCACCCCCCAGACGCTGCCATGACCACCAGCCGCCGGTGGTCTTGTCCTCGGCATGCCCGCCGGCGCCGGCGCCATGGGGTTTTCCGCCCTGGACCCAGACCATGTTGCCAAAGGAGCGCTGCTGGGCGGCCTGCATGAAGCGGAAAGTGGCGAGGCCCGTGTCGGCGCTGTCGACGTCGTGCTTGCTGGCAAAGACAATGACGTTGCGGGTGGTGCCAAAGAGCATGCAGTCAAACATGCCGTTGGAGGCAATCATGGCGCCGGCGAAGCACATGTAGCCGAGGGGCACGTCGGCGCCGGCCATGCTGGCGATGCGGCCGAGGGCGAGCGGGGCGGTGCAGAGGACGTAGATGACGGGGTAGATGAGGAAGGCCGGGTTGTGGGCGAGGTTGAGCTGGGACGAGGGGCGCTCGACGGTGCGGGTGCGGTCGGTGACGGCGGCGCCGTGGGCGCGCGCCTCCTCGCGGCGGATGTGGATGAATATTGTGGTGTAGAGGCCCGATGTGACGGCGATGGCGATGAAGATGAAGAGGTAGTGGGTGAGGAGGCGCATGTTGGAGTAGGCAATGTTCATCCAGCACCAGGCGCCGGCGCGGACAAAGAAGCCGCCGTAGTGGGCGCCGTTGGCGGTGGCGAGGACGGGGATGACGGAGATGGCGTAGACAAAGAGCCAGGTCGCGGCGATGACAATGTACAGCAGGCGGTGCGGCATCTTGTAGCGCCGGACGACGGAGAGGTAGGTGTGCACGGCGATGAGGGTGATGAAGCAGCTCGAGGCCAGGTCGCCCGTCGAGACAAAGAGGCCCTGGGTGAAGCAGGTGGGCGTGCCGACGCGGACCTCGTCGTACCGGAGCCACTCGGCGTTGAGGAAAAAGGCCACGCCCTGGTGCATGTCGGCCATGAGGAGGTTGAAGATGAGGATGAGGAACTGGTTGGGCGGCTGCCGCTTGGGGGCGGCGGCGGTGGTGGCCGCGGTCGTCCTGCGCCGCAGGGACTGCCGACGCTCCGCGTCGCCGTCGTCGTCGTTGCTGCTGCTCTTGCGATCCTTGTCCCCGGAGCTGCGCTCCCGTGTCTGCTGCGCGTCCCCCTCCCCGTCGGTGAAGATGGTGTCGATGCCCAGCGCAAAGTCGACCCTCCGCTGGAACGACTTGCCGTTCTGCTCACTGGCGACGACGTGGCCCTCGCCTCGTGGGCGGGGCCTCTTCACGTAGTGCCAGGTCAGCTTGTAGGTGAGGTAGAGGAACAGGACGCTCGACGAGAAGAAGGAGACAAAGGCCATTGTCGTGATGGCCGTGAGCCCCTGCTGTAGACTGGGGGTCAGGGCCAGCGACTGGCCTGACTCGGCCAGCTGCCCGTTGACCATGTTGTTGGCGGCTGTGATGGCGGTGGTGATGATGAAAGGATGTGGTGAACGGTGACAGGACCCTTCCTATCCTCAGCCGGAGACTCTCCGTTTCCGGATCCCGATGCTGACGCAAGTTACCCGACGCCGTGGATGGTCTATCTCGAAGCAGGGACGCAAGAGTGTGTGGTCGGTCACTTGGGATACTGCGTCTGTCGAATTACCTAGGCGAGAAGAGAGGGTTCGATCCTCATATTGGGGGTCGTCGAGTCTCGAGATCTGGTGGCGGCGCGCGCACGTGGCAGTCAGTGTGTCTTGCCAGACTTGGAGAATTGCTTAGGCAGTCCCAAGGTTAAAGAGGAAACGATCGCATGGCGCTAGTGAGTAATGATGAGAATGTCTACCGGGGCTGATTTGTCAAAATGTGCAGCGTCAGTGGTAAGCGAGTGGCACCATGTCCCGTTGAAGCTAGGCGCGTAGGCTGACCCCCTGACGCCCACTGCCCGTTATCGTGAGCTGCGAGTCATGGATGGGCCTGCGACCTACAGGGCGTCAAGATGATGATCCATCTTTCTCTTCCTTATAAGGCGATAGACACTTTGGTAGTCCACAGTCTCGCCGAGGTGGCCAACAAAAGAAACTCCCAAGAGGACACCAGGCAGAGAGAGAGTGAGGCAGGCAACGATGGAGCTTGCGGCATACTAAGGAACAGTACTATGCGTGAGCATTGGGACTGACTGCCCCCGACCAAGACGTCCGCGGCCGTCGGCAGACGAGTTTCAGCCCTCTCGTGTCTCGCCGACCAACAGGCACATACGTACGTACGGTACTCCGTAGGTAGGGTGACATTCCAGAGTTCTCTGTCTGAGGATTCTGTGCCTGTCTCGATGTGGAGTTTGGGAGGATTCGTGGCTGGCTTGGCGGCGCAGCAAGACGGATAGGCGATCGGCAACTGTCATGGAACGACTGAGCGAACGAATAGAATCGCCCGGGCCCCGATGCGTGAGATCTTTGTTTTTGATGCGTCTCGAGTCTCGACAAGTCCGCAGCCAGGGACGGATAAGGCGTCAGCCGACATGGACCAACAAGGGCCAATTGCCGGCGGGGCCATCTCGCGGCCTCGTAGGGCGTCGACTCTGTGATCACTCACTGATAGATCGCGGCTGACGTGCCGTCGTCAATCGCTCCAAGAACGGCCGGCCCTGGCCACGTCGACAATCCCCGGTGAAAGATTCGTATGTTGGAGACTTGGAGTTGGAGTTGGAGTCTGGATGGGCCGCTGCCAGGATTATGATCGTCCAGTGGGTCCAATCAAACGCGAGCCCCGGAGACATGGAGAGCAGACTGGAAACGGGCCCTCACCAGGGGTCCAGCACCTTATCTGCATTGAGTCAGTAATTCGCGCCAGGACTGGAGCTTTCGTACCTGTAGAGGAGCGGAGTGTCCGCCGGTGGAGTGTGATTGGCTCTAGTCCCTGTCCAGCCCACCGCGTAGTACGTACAGCTCCAGCACGGGCCCCCTGAGTGCCATGGACTTGCAAGATTTGGCTTTTCACATGATCACGAGAGGATGCAGGGCTGCGCCGGAGATACTCGGCGAGCTCGCACTCGTTCCCGTTTCCGTCGTGGCCTCGGCGTCAAACTCATCCGGATCTTCGCCTCCTGGCCCTCTAGCTCTCCGGGTGTGGCTTCGTGAGGCTCCCTCCTGACAAGCGCCGGCTGTCGCCCAGCAGGCTGACTCGTGGGAAAATAGGAGACTGGCCCAACGTGACTCCGATACTGCCACGTTCGCTTGCAAGGCGTGCCTGGAGTTGTTGGTACGTCCGCGTTGCGCTTGCGCCGCCATGAGATTGACTGCAATTGAGATAGATGAAGAGTAATGAATAAGTCACCCACCTCATTACGTGTACAGAGGTACGTAGCTAGCTAGCTCGTGCCATGCACACCCTCTCGTCAGATGACCATCTACGATCCATCATCTGCCAGGCACCATGCGTGCTCTCCCCTCCCACGTGCGCGCGTCAATGCAGTACGGCAGGGCTGAAGAGAAGCAGCGATATGATACATCACAGAGGCAGAGGTGGAGCTGTATCATGTACACGTAGGTATCCGTAGTACGCACGTTTTCAGCACGGGTGAGCAGTGGCTTCACTTTATCGCGTGGCAAGACTGGCCGCATCTGCATACATGGTCATTTCTTCGTTTGCGCCCATCTCCCCTCCCCTCCTCACACGCTGATCGTGCGGAACACGCTAAACTCCTCGCCCGTGGCGACGAGGCTGCCCGTGATCTGCGGGTGCCAGTGCACCTCCTTGACGTCCTTGAGGTAGTGCACAAATAGCAGCTGGGGCGGGACGTCGGTGGGGACACCAGCGCCGCCCTTGGCCTCCTCGTCGTCCAGCTCGACGGCCAGGTCCCACAGGGTGACGGTGTTGTCCCCCGCGGCGACGGCGACGATGGAGTCGTCGGTCGGGTGCCACTCGACGCTGGTGACCTGCTCCTTGTGGTAGTCAAAGCTGGCGAGCGGCTGCGGGCTGTCGCTGCTCGTCTTCCACTGGCGCAGGTCCCAGACGGCCCAGGTGCCGTCGTCGGCGCCCGTGGCGAGCAGGTGCGACGTCTGCCGCGACCAGGACATGACGTTGACGTCGTGCTGCGAGACCTGCATGGTGATGGCCGGCTTGCGCGCCTTGGAGCGAACGTCCCAGACGCGGACGGTGCCGTCGCTCGAGGCCGAGGCGAAGACGCTCGCCTCCGACGGCGACCACTGCAGCTCCTCGACGCTGCCCGTGTGGCCCTGGAAGGGCCGGTTGTCCGTCTGGAAACCCCCGCCGTCGGAGCGCGACGTCACGTAGATGAGGCCGTCGTTGTCGCCCGTCAGCAGCTTGCCCGGCACCGTGGACGACCAGTCGACGGCGTAGCCCTCGGCCTTGTGGGCGCGGATCGTCGAGAGGGGCTTGTTCTGCTGCGCGGTCACGGTCGACCCGGGCGTGTCGAACGAGTCGAGGTGGGGCGTAATGTCGTGGATGTAGACGTCGCTCGACTCGGACATGGTGGCCGTCAGGGTCGTGCCCGGCCGGCCGGCCTCCTGGCTGGGCAGCTGCGTCGCGCGCACCCGGTTCGTGGTCGACTTGAGGGGGATGGTCTTGCTCTCGAGGATGGGGTCGGCGTCCTCGTCGTCGTCGTCGTCCTCGTCGTCGCTCGACTCGTCCCCGTCGCCCTTGTTCATCCGACTCAGCCCGCTGAACTTCATGACCATGAGCTGGTTCTCGCCCGTGCGCGCCGTCTCGGCCTGCGTGCCCGCCACGGTGTACATGGTGGCCGGGTAGGTCTTGCGGTTGTCGCCCAGGCCGTCCTTGAGCACGTCGAACGACAGGCAGGGCCAGGGCGTGCTGAGGCTGTGGAACATTTCGTACGTGGTCGGGTCGGGCGCGAGCGTCTGGCCGGCCTCGAGCTTGTTGCGGCCGACGATGAAGGTGCCCTGGTCTACCTCCATGGCATCTAAAGGGGGGGTGGAGTGGTTAGTGAGTGACAGAATGAATGTCAGTCAGTCTCGACGTACCCTTCTCCTCGGCCTCGCGCTCTACATCTGGGCGGCCGTCGACGCCGGCCTCGAGGATCTCGTCCTCGCTCTCGAATTCGTCCTCAAACTCGTCCTCGAACTCGCCCATGTCCTTGGTCGCATCGTCCACGTCCATCTTCTCCGGCCTGTCGCGGTCCTTGAGGGGGCCATCTCCGGCTGCGTCTGCGGTTCTTTTGGACATGTTCTCCGGGTCTTGATCCGTCTGGAAGTCGCTGTACTATCTACACAAATGTGGCTCTTTTGCGACAGAATGGTGGTGGTCGACTTCTTAGTTGTTGCGACCACCACCACCAGGCGAGCCCAAAGTGACGACCCCTCCAAAACTTTTTTTCCCCAATGTGTCCCCGCCCGCCCGCCACCGATAAGCGATAAGGATGGACTGTATGTACCTCACTCGCTGTGAATCAGACATGCCGCCGCTGGAGCGAAATGTTCGCCTGGGTCGGCATTTTCTGAGCGCTCATGATATGACGGACATGATACACGCATCGGAGTACCAGATAGACCACTTGGGTTATACCACCAGGGCGGTAGAATCGATGCTGACAGACATGTGCTTCTCCATGCTTCGAGGGCCCAGCAGTCTAGTCTGGCGCTCAACAGTCGTGGTATCCAGAAGCCTTAGTGATTGTGATGAAGGCAACCCGCGATTCCAACGCACAAGCAATTGGTCATGCTGCGCCAAATATGAATCCGTACGCAGGGCCAGTGGTCGAGCCGAAGCACGTCAGCCCGCCAGCCGCTCTTTTGTCAGCAGACGACGCACCGTCCCGCCGTCCGCCCGCCCCCCACCAACAACAACCATAGGTACTTATTAAACCCACCTGCCCCTCGTCGCGAACGCGATCTTCACGACACATCCAAAAGATTGGCACTCAAACAAGAAGAGAAGACCTCCCACCAGCAAAGATCCCAAAGAAACAAAGAAACAAAGAAACGAAGAAAGGAAGAAACAAACAAACAAACAAACAAACAAAGAAAAAAGAAAAAAGACCGCCGCCATGTCCGTCCAAGACATCACCTCCAAGGCCGAGTTCGACCAGCTCCTCAAGGCCAGCCCCTACGTCGCCCTCCAGGCCACAGCCACCTGGTGCGGGCCCTGCAAGGCCATCTCGCCCATCTACAACAAGCTCGCCGAGTCCAACAAGGACGCCGCCGCCGCCAAGTTTGTCCGCTTCGACATTGACGCCGACTCGGACCTCACACAGGAGCTCGGCATCCGCTCCGTGCCCGCCTTCTTCTTCTTCGAGAACGGCGAGAAGGCGGACAGCGTCGTCGGCGCGAACCCGCCCGCCCTGCAAAAGGCTGTTGGTGCGCTTGTCGAAAAGGCCAGCGCATGAGGGGGCGCGTCGAAGATCGGACCGGGCACACATGCGCGAGGGCCTCGTCGTGGGATAGAGATGGCGGGCGAGCGTCACATGAAGGGGAAGGGAGTAAAACATGGAGAGCAGGTCACTTTTTGCCATGCATGAGAAATGAAAGAAATGAACATCAGCTTATCCCACCGGGTTACCTCTTCCCTTCAACAAATGCTCCTACCAGGGGCCAAAACACGTTGATCCCATCATGCTTCGCTCAAAAACTCCGGCTAATGGTCAAGTCCCACATGCACATCCAAACCTCATGCTTTCTTGCCGGCGACAGACTCGCCGCTCAGTCGTCCAATCCCAGAGTCCTCCCTCGGAGCCACCACGGACACTGCTGCTGGTGTTGGTGGCGGTGACTCCTCCATCGTCTCCGACGCGCCCAGCTTGGAAGATCCCGAGGGGAGTCGTGCGGCCGAGGACAGACGACGCGACTGCTTGTCCTCCGCCGCAGACAGGCGCGCCGTCTCGCTGACACCCATGCTCCGTCGGCCCGGCATGTCGATTGGGCTGCCAGGGGCCAACGACCCGGAGGAGGCCTTGTTGGCTGGTCGCCACCGGTTCCAAAAGCTGCCATCGCCCTCCGGCTTCCTCGAGTCCGCCGCGCTCATAAAGCTGAAACTCGGTGTTGGTGGAATCGTCGCGTCGGAGAGGTGCGTCTTGCCCAGCCGGCCCGTCGTCCGCGTCGTGTGCGTGCTGCTGGTCGGGCTCCCGGGGGTGCTCCTGAGCATGGACCCCCGACTCGTCTCCTGCGCCGGTGTGCCATTGGTGACGAGCGACGTCCTGCTCGCCTTGTTGGGTGATAGCGAACGCTCGCTGCGCGCCGGGGTCACGTTCCTGCTTCGGAGCCGGGTCCCGTCCACGTCCTGCCGCCAGCTGATGATACGGTCGGATGCTGGTTGCGGAAGGATAGGGCTGTTGGCGAGACTCACGGACCCTCGTCTCGACTGCACGCGGCTCGCGCCACTCGCCTTTGTCCTGATGCTTGCGCTGCGGCCCACGCCTCCTCCCAGCTTCCCTGAGAACTTGGACCCCGTCTCCCACATGTTCTGCTGACGTTTGACGTACGCGCAGTCTTGACGAAAGACCTTGATCGTGCCTGTCCTGTCCGTGGTGATGATAATGTTGCCGTCGTGGTGTTTCGAGCGCTCCACGTAGGCCGGCGTCTCCTCTGGCTTCCGGGCGTTCGAGTCGTGTCGGGGACGCTGGCTGCCTTCCCCCTCCCCATCAGACGCCTGGCTTTCCGCTAAACTGACCAGCGTGACAGGTGGTGGATTGCAGAGGTCATAGATGGGATCGCCCGACGCACTCAGGAGCTGTCGGCTTTTCGTAGGCGCCACGACGGCCGTCGTGACCACCTCGGGGTGGGCGTCGAAGCATTCGTGAGGCTGCTTGTCTCGATCGCCGCCGTCGACGGCCGCAGGACCCCAGATGTAGGCCTTTCGATCCTCGCTGCCGCAAATGATATGTCGTCCGTCCTCCGTGAAGCGGGCGTGGATCTGGCTCGACTGGTTGACATGGCCTCGGTACTTGGCCTCCAGCATCCGGGTCTTGAGACTGTACACGCGGACGCGTGAGTCGTTGGAGCTGATCAGGACTTTGACATCGCCCGCGCTCGGCCCGGACTGCACATTGGTCGTCTCGATGCCCGTGATCTTACTGCCCTTGGCGTTCTTACCCCTCGACGACCGCACGTGAATCTGAAACTGCGCCTCGAGGCCCTCCGTCTCGTAGAACGTGCACATGCCGCTGAGCCCACCGCAGATGGCCGTCTTGCCGTCCGGGCTGAAGCCCACGGCCGTGATGAACTCGTCCGCCTCGGCGGAATACGGCACGTCCTTGTCCGGAATGCTCCACAGCCTCAGCTGCGCGTCGAGGCACCCTGCCAGGAAGAATCGGTCGTCCGTCGGGTGGAACGCAATGGACGTGACAATGTCCGTGTGTTTAAATGTCGCCAGGCTCTCGGATCGGGAAGGATGCCAAAGCTTGACCGTCTTGTCCATGGAAGCAGACAGCAGAAATCCATTCTTGCCCCAGGACATGGACAGGACCTCCCCCGTGTGCCCCTCAAACTCACGGATCGGTTTGCTTCGAAAGACGGGCGCGCTCAGCTTCTCGCCAACGTTGCCGCACTGCACCTCGTCCTCTTCCTGCGCCTTGCGGTCCTCGGGCGTCGAGATGACTGCGTACACGCGGATCCTGTCGCCCTTGCCTCCGACCGCCAGATATCGGCCGTCGCAGCTGAACTCGGTCGCCCAGATCGCGGCAGAGCCCCCCTTGAGGATCTTCTTGCCGACCGCCATGGAAGGCGCGCGGGTGCTGTCGTCGTCCTTGTTGGGGCCGGCCGCTGAGAGCTCTTGCGCCAGGAACATCCTGTTAAACTCCCGGGTCTTCTTGTTCCTGGTCTTGGCCTTGATGTACCGAGGCGGCTCCTTGTAGAACGGGATGTAGCCACCGCCGGCGCCCAGGACCGAGGTGAGGGCGCGCGCATTGGCGCCGTCGTCGCGCGCTTCGCCGAGCTCAGAGTCGGAATCCGGCACGTCATCGTCTCGTGTCCACGGTGTTCGCATGCTGAGTCGGCTGAGGAACGAAGATCCCTTCCTACAGAGAGCATGGTCAGCAGCTGAGCTCCAGATGGGATGACGCTTGGCAGGCACTCACCTCCACTCCTTGGTGGCATCCACAACAGCGCTGGGCGGCTTGTTGTTTGTCGTCTCTGCTGCCTCTGTATTTGGGCTCTCGGGACGGCCAGGGACAAGCAGCCGCTGGGCGATGGACTGGGATTGTTCGGTGTGGCTGTTTGTCCGTAGGTATATCTGGTTGCTCAGGGGATCCAGTCCGATGGAAGGGGCGTTGGAAGCAGTAGGCCTGGGCTGCCCCTTTTCCCCCTTTGCGTTCTGTGTATTCGTTCGCGAGAGGCGGGTTGTGGTGGAGCGCCTACTGTTTGCCGGCGGGCTTCCATTGCCTGGGGAGGAATCTCTGTCAGGACCATGTACCCGTTAGACTCAAGCCGCCCGTCGTCCCAAGCGGAGCGACGCGTGGAGGGGACTCGAGGGGGAGAGCCAGGATCTCGACGTACCTGTCGCGGCATCATAGCCACCATCGGGACCGGATGGTGGGTTTGGGTTTGGAGACGCTGGGGCAGGGGCCGCGTCGGAGCTGCCGTCCTGCAGGGCGCCATCGCCTTGGTGATTGGCAGACGGTGTCATTGAAGATGCATATCCCATGCTGCGCCTGCGCAACGTACGCCAAAGGGGTGCGCTTTCGTGGGCGCGGAAGAGGGCACAAGTAGGTGGCCGAGCGGACACGCGCTGGAACTTGGGAAACTCTCAGTCCGTCTCGGGTTCGGATGGGTCGGTCCGAGGCTTCGGGCCTCGCTCCTCGCTTTGATGGGCGTCGTGCGCACGTATCCTATTACTCGGTATACGTTGAGTCGCGTGCCGACCAAGTACGAGCTTGCGAATGCGAGGAGCCGCAGGTGAGAAGCGCAGATTGCAAATATCTAAACGTGTAATGATAATTGCAAAATTAATAATGGGTGGACTCGGGCGCTTCGGACCTTGGTCGACCGTTTATAGTATGGTTCTAGAACGCTATCTTTCTTCGCTGGAGCTTGTTCGAACAGGTAAGTCGTTCGCGGAAGGTCATTCGAGCTCGGGGCGGCTGCTGGCTGCAGGAGGGGCTGGCGCAGCAGAGGAGTCGGAACAAGCAGGTTTGATCAGTCGTGAAAAGATCTCACGAAGCCTTGAGAAAATTGGGAAAGGAATGCCGTGTCATCATCGCGACGACTGGAGCGTGAGAGGCAAGTATTCCGTAAGGTACCTACCTTCCTTGATCACCCAGTCAAGCAATCCTGGGCGCCACGCTACCAGGTAAGATACCCTGTACACATCATCATCATCACGTAGCTGGTGCCTCAGATGCCAAGCCGGCCCATGCAGGCTTCGCCCAGCCCTGGAAAGCAGGATCATCATTGCCATCAATACCTCTCCCACATTCCCAAAGCATCAATCGCCAAGTAGCTACTTGGGAGGCGCATATTGAGCTCGTACAGCCACAGCTCTCATTGGAGCCACACAGTCATGACATGACGTCTTTTGCCAACGTGTGGCACAGCTCGGGCCTCGAAGCGCAGGTAGTTGAGCGATCCCCGAGAGTCAATGAATTGCTAGCAAGCCACAACAACTCCATCAGACGCCGATCTCTCCAATGACCTCACAAAAGTGTCAACGCCGCACGGTACCGTTCACGTTGCGCCGCGCTACCAGTCTTCGACTGCTTGTTGCCCAAAGTAGAAGCTGTGCCGAGGGGTGCGTACGCCTTGGCCCGTCGCTTTCGCATTGCGCCGGTTCGTCCGCTCTCGTTAGTGAAAGTGATGTTGGTGACATGCTAGAATTAACTTGGTATCATAATAATCATTACCACAAGAACTCTTTGATCATGCATCGCGCAATGCTGTGATGCTGAAAAGACCCAAAGGTCTTGGGTACTAGACAGAAGCTGTTACTGAGGCGAATTTCAATCTTCGTCTAATTCCACAAACACATCCTACATTAAAGTTTAAAAGACAGGTGTTAGTTACTCTTGCACCAGGCGCGCTTCGATGACACTCCTTCCTCACAATCGAGTTGGTTACTTCATTGTTTCTACATCACATCCGTACTATGTATGTTACAGATGAGTCGTGCAATTAGGTTAGGTTACAGACTGAATGATCGGTGCTGGGTGTCCTGTGGTCTAGGGTAGGTCAACTCACATGAAAAAGGTATGGCTTATCGTCGTCATCAGGCTTATCGCAGCCTGACATGAGCGTCTAAACCCAACTCACGACAGCGCTCTCACAACCTTCTCCTAGCACGGCCTAAAGCACCATCATGAAGCTCGCAAAGCGGAAGATTCCCGCCGACATCGAGGGAGAGGCGGTCTCCCTCTTGCCGGAAGACCCCGAGGACATGGTGTGTTCTCTCTCAACTTCTTCCCGCCGTTGTGGCGGCGTTGCCCCTCCCCCACTAACAGCTTCATTTCAAGTGGCATATATACAATCTCGTGCGCCCAGGCGACATTGTCCATGGACACACCAGCCGCAAGGTCGTCCGCGAGAATGACGACACGGGGGCTACCAGCGCAGAGCGCATCCACCTCGACCTCGCCATCAAGGTCAAGGACACATCCTTCGACCCCATGACGTGCATCCTTCGAGCGTCAGGTCTTGTCGTCACAGAGAACGAGGCCGCGAGCTTGGGCGCCCAGCATGCGCTCGAGTTTGAGCCGAACCGGTCCTTCTCACTCATCAAGCCGGAGGGATGGGACTCGGTCGCGCAGGAGATGATGCAGCAGGCGCTGTCCGACGACAAGAATGGCGCGCTGGCCGCCGTGGTCATGCACGAGGGCCTGGCCAACATCTGCCTGATCACGGACTATCGCACCGTGCACAAGGTCCGGGTCGAGCACGCGGTGCCCAAGAAACACGACGCCTCGTCTCACCAGGACGCCGGCATGCGTAAGTTCTACGAGAAGACGCTAGGGTCCCTCTTGCGCGCCGCCGATTTCTCCAAGTCGAGGCCGCTCCTCCTGGCGAGTCCCGGCTTCGTCGCCGCCGACTTCAAAAAGTACATTGCCGACCAGGGCCGGGACAAGTCCGACAAGACCTTGACGGCTGTGGCCAAGCTTGCCGAGGTGGTGCACGCACCGTCGGGGCACCTCCACAGCCTGAACGCGGTGCTAAAGGACCCCAAGGTGCTTGCCAAGATGAAGGACGTCAAGTACGCAAAAGAGGCGTTGTTGTTGGACGCATTCTTCGACAAGCTCAAGCTTGAGGACGGGCGGGCTTGGTATGGCACCACAGCCGTCGAAAAGGCAGTCCAGGACGGTGCGGTCGGACAGGGCGGCGGCGTGCTGCTCATCAACAATATCCTATTCCGACACGAAGATCTGGCGATACGGAACCGCTACGTGGCCCTCGTCGACCAGGTCAAGGCCCTGGGGGGCGAGCACCGTATCCTGAGCAGTGACCACGGCAGCGGACAGCGCCTGCAAATGCTCGGGCACATTGCTGCCATCTTGACGTACCCAATGCTGGACCTGGACGAGGATGAGGATGAAGAAGAGGAAGCCACGCCACAGAACAGAGAGCGCCACGATGACGACCAAATAGATATGATGGACAGCGTGATATGAAATGAAAAAAGAGACATGAATACGAATCTTCTGAGTGTCTTTGGGGTCTACCATGATGCTTGACTGGCTTGAGCAGCTTCTGGGTACAGGCGCGGGTTTACAGGACTAGCTCCGAGACCTAGGGCAGGATATCCATGGTAACTCGTACAAGTACGCCAGATCAGGGGGCGTCAATTTGATGTTTGAGGCTAAGGTATCCCAAGGTTGTTAGCCCTGGAAGATACCCAGTCGTGGAAGCGACGGTGGTGTCCTGTGTGTATAAGTGGTGGTGGAGCTGAAACTATGTAGCAAGTCATTCGTCCCGCAAGGGGTGAGCAAGCCTGCGAAGAGCTGCCGCTGTGACAAAGCCCTTGCTACGACATGCTCAAATCAGGCCTCTCGCGTATGGTAAGGTAGGTATTGGTAATCAAAATCACCCGAGACTCGAGAGCGCATCACGATGATGAGTGCCGCACTGGCAGGCCTCTCTAGCTGGGCCCCACACCAGCTTAACCGGACCAACCTTACACACGTCACTACCATCTCCATCACCGCTTAACCCGGTTCTTGTCGAATATATAATGCGCAGTGAAGCGCAAGGTACGTCAAACAGACTGTATCCCCCGCATCACAACACACACTCTTCAACATAGTGCAAGGTTATGCTCAGGACAATGGCGAACAAGTTCAGCATCTCGTCGACGGTCAAGCTCAGGTCGGGCTACGAGCTTCCGGTCCTGGGGTTTGGAGTGAGTACCCATGATATCCGATAGAGCAGCGCTCGTCGAAACTAGGCGAACGACTGACTGGCTTTATGTTTTCTAGGTTTATAAGACGTAAGGCTTGCCTCTCTGCACCAACTACCAAATCGTCAATAGGCTGACTGACCGACATGAATATAGTCCCGCAGACCAAGCCACTGATTGCGTTCGACAAGCTCTGCAGATTGGCTACCGACACGTAAGCGAGAAGTGCGCATCAGTCTCAATGGCACAGCACTGACATCCAGTAGATCGACTCGGCTACGGCCTACAAAAACCAGGGACCGTCCGCTGAGGGCATCAAAGCTGCCGGCGTACCCCGTGAGGACGTCTTCTTCACCACCAAGGTCCCCTCAGGTGACACGCCTCTCGGCTACGAGAACGTCAAGAAACTCGTCGATGCGGCCATTGACGAGACCAAGCTCTCGTACCTGGATCTCGTCCTCATCCACTGGCCCCATTCGGCGGGTCCGGAAGGTCGCAAGGGCGCCTGGCGCGCGCTCGTCGAGGCCGTCGAGGCCAAAAAGGTGCGCTCGATCGGTGTCTCCAACTTTGGCGTGCACCATCTCGACGAGCTCGAGAGCTACATCAAGCAGCTCGAGACGGAGCGCGGGCCGGGCAAGGGGGGCGTCATCTCCGTCGGCCAGTGGGAGCTGCACCCCTGGCTGACGCGCCCGGACATTGTCAAGTGGTGCAACGAGAGGGGCATCGCCGTCGAGGCTTACTGCCCCATTGTGCGCGGAGAGCGCCTCGACGACCCCAAGGTCCAGGAGCTGGCCAAGAAGCACGGCAAGACTCCTGCCCAGATCTTGCTGCGCTGGAGCGTGCAGAGGGGCTACGTTCCTCTCGTCAAGAGCGTGACGCCGTCGCGGATCGAGGAGAATGCTGGCATCTTTGACTTTGCGCTGACGGACGAGGAGGTTGAGGATCTGCGGACGGACGAGTACAGTGTTTGCTCGTGGGATCCGACGGTCAAGCCTCTGGAAGAGTGAGCTTGGGGTTCAGATGGAAGCAAAGAAATCCTCAAGTAGAGAATGATGAAGTTCCCAACGTGAACGATCCAGATCATCCATGGGCAAAGTGCTAAGGTAGGGCACCTACTGTAGCTGTGGTGGGGGCACGTGACATCGAGATTACCACGCGAGAGACTTGTGTCGCAAACGCCCCGCCAAACGAGCCGTGAGGCGCGTCTTCGCACGCACCAAACTACCACCCACGAATCTCGGAGTCAGCTCATGATCAGATGAATTCGCAAAGGGCCAGACAGACTCAGAATATCCGATGACGGGCCCGGTCGCTTTGCGATGCCCGTGCAAAACACGTTCACGCTCATAACCGAGCGCATCGCCAAGAACAATGCCGTCGACGAGACGTCACGGCCCATGACCTCGAAGCAGCTCAAGAAACAACACCAGAAAGCAAACCAAGGGCCCAAGCTCTCCCGCATCGAACAGCGCAAGCTGGAACTCGCCGAACAAGAGCGTATACGCAAAGAGCTGGAAAAGGACCGTCAACAGGCCCGCGCACGGATCGCCCGAGACAAGAAGAAGGCCAAGGAGGAGGCGCAGAAGGAGGCTCGTCGCAAGAAGGGGAGACCACTCGTCGACGTCAGACCGAGCCAGGACACCATCTCCAGATTTGTGAGAGGCAACGGGACCGGCAAGAAAAGAGACGGGAGCGGTGCTGCTGTCGGCAGGATAGCGGCGATTGCAGAGGAGCCAGAGGAAGACCAGGCGCAGACAACAGCGCGACCGAACAACTCGGATAAGTCGAAATCACCAAAGAAGTCCCCGCCCCTGTCAATATCGGGATCGACGGCGTCAGGGCTTATGGAAGATGGGTCAGAACCACTATCACGAGACGTCAGCAACGACAGTGTGCAACCCCCCAATCAGCCACTCGAGACCGAAGATGAGAACAGAGACGAAGACGCCGCGCCTGCAGATGGGCCTGCAGTCTTGCCATCCAATGCCTCTCCTGAACCATGGTCAAAACTACCCGCAAAGTACGAGCGTGCACCAGAACTACCGATTCCCAACTCATCGACGTCACCCGCCCCCAAGGGCGCTGAAACTGAAGTTCCCAGGTCATCGAGCGCCCCGATAGACCCTGGAATGGGCATTCATCTGTGCTTGCAAGATGAGGGTTCCATCGACAGCGCAACACCTTTGCCTGAGCCACCAGCTTCAGGCGGGCTTCCCGAGAAAAGGGCTACGAGTACAGGCGCCGAAGCAGTCACCATGGCAGCAGATCATGAGGACAACCTTTTAACAAACATCGATCTCGACGATCTACTGGATGATGTGTCCATCAAGGATCTTGAGACGACCATCAGTGGCCACGACCCAAAGCCAGCCAATGCACCAGTGGCAGAGCTGTTTGAAGACGACTTCGCCGATGATCTCGTACTGACGCAGCTACCGCCTATAGCCGCACCAAGCCCTGTGGAACCTTTTTTGGATCGCAGCGAGTGTGCTCCAGCAAAGGCTCGCGGCTCCACGGTATCCCTAGGGCATCCAGCGGCACTTGAAGAAAGGAGTACAGAGCCAGCGCCCGGCATGGACCTACAAGAGGGGATCTTGGACGGATTGCTGCTGGACTTGGGCATGGAATTCTCACAGGAGCTCGATTTGTACGACGTCCCAGAACTTGAAGATCCGCCAGCCATGGGCGCTTACGCAGAAGGCCCCAAGGCTGAGCCACCGAGGTTTGCGGGCACACAGTTTGAGGATGACTTGGGCGATGATGCTCTCGATGCTATAGACGCCATGCTCGAAGGTTGTTTAGACCCCCGAACCGAGCAGAAGTCACCATTACCGCACAAAGCTTCGGCGGGCCCTGATTACCAAGAAGGGGCATTTCAAAAATCAGTCTCTACAAATCCGCATGTGGCGACTGGAGCTGCACCGGATTTCTCCAGTTTCGGCGAGGACGACTTGGAAGATGATCTTCTCAGGGGGTTATTCATGACACAGGCGCCCGCAGACGCCTCTGCGTCTGTTCCTCAGCCCTTGGCCACGACAAAGTCACAGGTCCCCGAGGTCAAGACAACCGACACGAGCACGTCGCTCTCCTATGCTGCGGACCTCGGGATCCAGCGGCAATCTTCACCTCCTCGGCCAGATCCACCCATGAGCACACAGGCTGTCTTGATGAACTTTGACGACTACTTTCCCTCCCCATCCCAGCAGGAGCGCGAGCTGGAGGATGACAGACTGCCCTTTGTCTCCCAGAAGACACCCTGTCCGCCGCCCCGACCACCACGACCACAGATGCCCAAGGCTTCACCGCACCCGACGCAGGCCATGGCACCACCACCCTCACCGAAACGATTCTTCAGCACGTCTGGCTCGAACGAACTGCTTTCCCTGGCTGTGCACCGCAGTCGCCGCGACATTGCGCTAGAGAATCTGCACGACCAAGACCGCCACAGAATACAGGCGGGCACGAATCAACCGAACCGCCAGCTCCAGCGGCAGGCGGAATGGCCTGGCCGGTCCTCGGCGACAGGCTCTAGAAAGCAGGCAGCTCCTGGCTTCCGCCAGGCCATGAGGGCACCATTCTCCAAGCGGCCCGCGCAGGGGCGTCCACCTGCCTTCAAACAGGCCAGAGCGCCGGCGGCTCGTGCGCCAGACGTCCGGCCTCCCCCCTTTAAACCGCCGGTGAAGCACCCGTCCACAGGAAAGGAGAATGCTTGTCCGTCGCCGCAAGACGATGTGATGATTGCATCGCAAGAGACGGAATACGGAGGGGGTTGGATAGATGACATTGCATTGGATATTTTGTGACGATGAGGGGGGACGTCTCCCTCTTCTAATGAGACACGACTATGAGGATATCCTATTGAGCGAATGCAAGCGTATTCTTTTTTGCTGCTCAATATTCTCGAATAGCCACGAGGATACAGATGTCCAGAAAGGACTGTTTGATGAGATGAAGACGACGGTGTGGCTTACCAGCACCCTCGGATGTGATGATTAACCTGAGATAAACCCCTACAGATGCGTGTAATGCCGCCCTATGAGAGAGTAAAAGGACGAAGCCCGGACTGCCATGTATGGTATGACTCGCTGCGTCTATGCTGTCTCCCCTGAACACCATGCTCGCGTGGTAGGAACCAAAAACAAAAAAAACAAAAAAAAGGGAAAGGAAAGCAACGAAACGCCAGAAGACGACGTCCTCAGACGTAGACCCCCACCCATTCACCCTTAGCCGACACGGGCGTCTCGCATCCGTCGACGGCGCAGTGGATGTTGCTCGCGGCACCCGAGCTCGGGAAGCCAGCCGAAGGCCTGGTTTTGCTCTTGGTCGCTTTCCTTCTCTCGAAACAATTGTAGCAGTATACCTGGGAGACGGTAAGATTAGCAACAACAAGTAAAAACAAGTCCCAGGTCTTCTTACGTGGCCGCATTTTTTGAGCGCCCAGAAATGATGCTCCGGCGCCCGTTTTCTCTTCCTGGACCCCGAGGCCTTGCTCGTGGCGGTGGACGGGCCAACGCCCGTGTCGTAGGCGAGTTCCTCGTTGCACAGCGGGCAGACGGCCACCATGTCCTCCTCGGGGTCGGCGTTGGTGTTGCGGGTGAACCCTTCCGTCGTGGGCGGTGTCTTCTCGCGGGTCGGCTTGGGGGTCTCGTATCGCGCGGCCTGGTATGTCCCAGCCGTGACGTCCAATCTCACATCTCGCCAGTTCAAGGTGATATTGCGCAGGGCGTTGTAGTTGCCCAGATTGTAGTTGCCCAGACGGGCGGCCAGACTGGAGAGGGGCCCGCCGCCGCGTGGTGGCGTCGGTCGTGCGGGACCAGGCCCCATGCCCATGTCGACGAGCAGATCCGACGAGGGCGGTAGGGGGAGCGTGAGCGATGGCTGGCGCAGGCGGGCTGCCGTTCTCTGACGCCGCGCGGGGGATGCTGCGGCGCGCGATGGATGGCGGTGGGAGACCTCGTTGATCTCGTTGTCGTCGTCGCCCGTCAGGTCGATGAAGGGCTGCAGGTTGGATCGGGAGATGGTGCCGTCGGTGCGGGCGAGCGTGGGTGGCGATACGCGGTTGGGTCCACTGCGTCTGGGGTTGTTGCTCTGCTGAGAGGACGGCAGAGTGGGCTGCACCTCGACAGAGGAATCATCGTCCGCGGTAAGGTCAATAATCCCGTCCGCGGCGGCAGGCGCCGCGCTCATCCTGGGCACTCGTCGGCTGTGGGAGTGGTGGCGAGAATCGTGCCGTGGGTGACGGTGGTGGTGGCGGCGATGGTGGTGGTGGTGGTGATGATGGTGATGGTGGTGGTGAGGCCGTCCGCCTGGGGTGGTCGAGCCGGCGGCGGCAGAGGTGGTGGCGGAACGGCTTCGTCGTTCTGTCGCCGAGTCGTCGTGGAAAGGATCGAGACTAGGGTCGTTCGTGTCTCGTGCTAGTCTTTGGAGGTTGCTGATGCTATCGCGTAACCCGCTCAATGTGTCGTAGACCTCGGCCCTCTGGACTGCGATGTCCTCGTCATTAAAGGCCCTTAGGAATTCGGCAAAGTCTGGCTCGAGATAATCTAGATATGTGGGCGCACGATGTTCGTGTGACTGAGTCGGGGAGCTCGCGGACGGAGGGCTCGAGGCTGGATATATATCAGGCAGAGGGCTCGAATCGCCCAGAACGATGGGCTCGGGCTGGGATGCCTCGTTGTAGTCGATGTGGCGGCTTCGGCGGGGGCGGGAGTTGTTGTGGGCAGCTGGGGAAGGCGTGACCTCGACGACGTCCTCGTCGCTATCAGTGAAGAGTGATTGGGCGTAGCTTGAATGGTCGTCGACAAAGAGGCCGTCTTCGAGGTCCATGTCCATCCTGTGTGGCGACGTGAATCCGAGTGAAACTGACGGCAGCCTGAGCTAGGGATGAGGCGAGGCCGTCTCGAGAAGAGAGGATGCCGTGCTGGATAGAAATCCGTCCGAGGTTGTGGTGGACGTGTCAGAAGGTCGATGTATACCGGGCATGGTCTGGATATGTGGGAGGCGTGTTCGCAGGAAACGAGTCTTGCCTGTCCAATTTGCCGAGTGAACACGGAGTGACCATGCACAACGAAGTGAGGGATGAATGAATGAATGAATGATGGATGATGTTGTGCCAGTCAATGTCTGGCGGCGGCTGTCAACCCACCCACCCGCCCACTTTAGTCGCCTGGCAGCCTGTGGCCCGTGGGTGAGTGAGTTAGCGCCGCACAGTCGACTCCGATCAGGCGCGAATCGCCACCCGACTTTTTTTTTTCACCAGCGGACAAGAGATGAAGGACGCAGCGGATGGTGAGATTGCAATTCATTCCCAAACACCGCTCTCTAGATAGGTAGACCACAAGCCCCCCGCCCTTCTTTTGCCAATTTGCTATGCCTGGACGCCGAAAACAGTTACAACACCATCGCCATTGACCGACACCAGCTTCTGCCCGCTCTGGCCCCATCGCACAGCAACCGCACTGACGGAGCTCCGGAAGGGCTCAGCCCACGCCTTTTTGGCCTTGACGTACTGCTGCACCGTGACCCCCGAAGGACCACCCGTCGCCAGGAACTGGCCAGTGTAGTCCCACGCCAGCGACTGCACGGAGCCCCCGGTCTCGAGCACCTTGGCCGTCCTGGCGTCGCCCTCCTTTCGTAGATCAAAGATGGTGACCGTGGTCTGCCCCTTGGCGATGCCAGCGAGCCAGTACCCGTTCTCGGAGAAGGTGAGGGCCTGCACGGGCGCGCCAATGTCGAACTCGGCCGCCAGCTCGAGCGTCTTGGTCATGAACAGCTTCAGCTTGCCCGAGACGGTGCCCGCCGCGAGCAGGTGGCCGTCGGGGTGGAATGCGCAGGTGGTGAGGGCTGTGGCTTGTTAGCATGTACTTCTCAACTCCTCAGGGCCACATGGCAACTTACGGGAATCCGTGTACGCACGGCTGATGCGTCCCATGGTGTTAAAGTCGTAGAACACGACGCTCTTGTCCGAACCAACAGAGGCCAGGATCTGCTCCCCGGGATGCAGGCTCAGACCGGTGGCGGCACCCGCGTGCTCGCTGGCCTCGCTCACCTGGTCGCCGTTCTGGTACACCTTGACGGAACCCTGGCTGGTCGCAAACACGACCTTGGAGGACGCCGCCAGGGTCGCCGTGACGGGCTCGTCGACGGCCATCTGGTGCTCCACCGTGTCCGTCTCGATCAAGTACGTTGCAGACGCACCCTTCAGTCCACCCAGAGCAGCGACCATCTGATCCACGTCGAGCGAAGTCGCCTGCGCCACGGGCAGGGCATTGGTGGCGGCGGGCGCAAACGCGCTGACCTCGTCTCCGGTGACCCAGCCCTCGGGGATCGGTCGCTTGGATCGACCTTTCGACTTGCTGGCCTGTGTCTGGTCCACCTGTGCCGCAAAGGTCTCTGGCAGGCCCTCGACGCTGTCCACGGCCATGGCGTCGCCGCCGCTGCCGCTGCCGCTGGCGCCCCCTGTGACGGTGACCTTGCCTAGTGCGTCGCGGGCCTCGTCTCTCTCCCTCGTCAACCTCGCGATGACGCGGACGGCGGCATCGTGCTGGTAGAGGGCGGTCGCGAGCTCCTCGCGCGTGCGCGCCAGCTGCTCCTTGAGGTTGTAGGTCTCGAGGGCCAGCGCGTCCCACTCGTTCTGAAAGGTCGCCAGGAGGGCTGGGATGGACGTCAGGGTGGGTGGCCGCGGTCGCACGATGCGAGAGGATGTGATGGGGAGGAGGTCCTCGGGCTGCAGCGCCTCGCCCGTGTTGGGCTCCGTGCCGTGCTCGTGGATGTACTGGTCAATCAGTCGCTTCTCGTAGATGACGCCGCTCTTCTTGGACACGACGGGCTCCTGGGGGGCCTCGCCCGATACTGCGGTGGTCAGTGGTGAGAAGGGAGATGGGGGGAGCGCCTGGCAAACGTACTTCCGCAGAGCATGTTGACAGATTGAGTGTGTGGCGCGCTCAATCGCGGTGTGAGGATGCGCTGGTCGCGGCTCGAGATTTTGCTGGCTGCCTTTGCCCAAGGTATCCGTGCCAAGAGGTACCTTAGGTAAGGTACTCACTACGCACGGACCTCTGCATGGGTCACGAGGTGATAAGACAGAGAAGCTCTATCGCGATGCGTGCCAAGACACATCCGCCGCGGGGCCCAGTGACCAGTCCCGACCTGGCCTGACCCGGCCTGGGGCATCTCCAGTCACCACCCACCGCACAGCACAGGCGGAACCAGCCAGTCCAGCCAGCCAGCCAGCCAGGTGATTGAGGTAGCACTGTTGGGCCTGTGTCCCGCAACGGCCAAATTTGGGGGTCCATGTCCTACTCTTACTTGTTGTATCTCATGTCTGGAGCCAGCCCGTCCTGAGCGTTCTCTTGTCTCGTTCGTTTCTGCCCTTTTGCGTTGCTTCCCAGCATGACCGTCCTGAAGCTACCGCCCATCAAGGGCTTCCACACCTGCTCCGACCTGGAGCAGACCGACGTCCTCGACACCCTGTTCGAACCCAGCCCCGTCATCCACGAGAAGCTGCTGTCCGTCATCCGGACGGCCCAGTACAGCTCCTGGGACGACCTGATCGACGCGTGCCAGATCCGCCTGCTGTCGCTCGCCGCGTCCACCTCGACCTCGTCGCCCGACGCCGAGCTGCTCAACGTGCTGGGCTCGCATCCGCGCCTGGGCGAGAAGAAGATTGAGTCGGCCCACTCGGCCTCGGAGCAGGCCAACATCCAGAAGAACCAGAGCGTCGCAGAGGAGGAGGAGCTCGCGGCCCTGAACAAGCAGTACGAGAAGACCTTTCCCGGCCTGCGCTACGTCGTCTTTGTCAACGGGCGCGGCCGGCCCGAGATTATGGAGGACATGAAATCGAGGATCGCGCGGGGCGACTACACAAAGGAGGTGGATGCGGCGCTGCAGGTGAGTTTGCCCGCCCCCTCCCCCCCCTCCGTGCGCGGACTTCCCCAGGGTCCAGTCCCCAGTGACGGGCGGCTACTAACGTGCAAGGCCATGTGTGACATTGCAAAGGATAGGGCGTCGAAGCTGGTATAGGCCGGTCTCGAGGCGAAGAAGACAAAAAAAGACCTTGGTTACTCTTTTTCAATCTTTGTTGACGGGTATCTCTGATCAAACAGCGAAACCATGCTCCAGTACCCTATCATGCCAATATGCACCGACGCCCGTCCCAGTTGATGACTACAAACAGCAGGCTCTCCAGCTACCTACCCCCTTTTTGCCAAACCCCCCTAGATCGTCACCCACGATATGCCGTCGAGCTCATCCAGATACTCCTCGTACGAATGATCCTCCTCTGCCGCCGCCGCCGCGGTGCCGTTGCTAAAGATGACGCTAAAGTCCGAGTACACCTGCTCCGGATCCTCGCTCAGACCTGCGCAGTCGTCTCCGTGCAGGTAGAAAAGCCCGTCGTCGTCCAGCTCTTCGTAATACGCGCTGCTGCGTTCGGGGTGGAGCTCGGGCGACCGGATGGGATGGATGCGCGGAGACGTCCTCTTGCGTGCGGCGGCGAGGTCGCACGTGGGCAGTGGAAGGGCGGCCGGCTGGGACAGCAACGTCTGCACCTTGAAGGAGGCGTGGCCCATGGCTCGCGCGGAGGAGGCGATGAGGGCCTCCCGAGACGACCGTAGGTGCTTTGCCCCAGCGGACACGGTGGGACACGTCGGCGACGACTGCCAGGGCGCCCTGGACTGTGAACTTTGTCGGGCGTCCTCCTCGACCTGCACGCGCTGGCCGGGGTGGCCCAGTCCAAGCCGTCGCCGGAGGCGGTTCATGACCGAGAAGCGTAGGAACGAGGTGGCGTGCAAGTGCGCGGCTCGTCTCGCGACATCGTACGAGGTGGCGATCTTGGCGAAGCGCTTGTCTCCCTCCTTGGCACCCTCCCTGTTGAGGATGTGCGTCGCGGGCAGCGAGTAGGGCTGCGACAGGCGGCTGGTGATGAGCTCTGTGCGCAAGCGACGCTTCTTGCAGCTCAGCGAGGCCGTGTTGGGGCCGTCGACATCCTGGCCATGTCGGATCCGTTTCCAGCGTTTTGGTTCTTGGAAAGTTGCTTGTGTTGGCTCCAGAAAGTCAAAGCGCATGCCCTCGTGAGGCGACGCCCAGGTGAAGAAGTCGTCCACCGAGGAGGCCGCTGGTGTGGACGTGCCATCCGTAGAGCTATCGTAGAAGCCGCCGCCGAGCGGGCGGAAACTGCTGCTGCTGCTGCTGCTGCTGTTGTTGGTGTTCCCCAGGAGGTCATCCAAGCTGATGCTGCTCGCAATGGCACATCGTGGGATGGCAGATGGGGCGAGGGAGAGACCCTTGCGGAGGCTGCTGCCCTCGACCGTGTGCCCCCCCCACGCGGGCAGCAGCTCGTGTGATGGTGGCGAGCTGGGCTCAACGTCGACGACCTGTACCATTTCCACACAGCAGCACACTGGTGGTATTGGTGATGGTGGTCATGTACCGTGCCAGTCAATGCCTGGCGTACATGCTATGCTGGTGGTGATGAAGTGTGCGACCCGACGCGTTGTGCGGCGCCATGTGCTCAGGGGATTTTCTAGATACGTGGACGGACGGATTGCTGGGCGGCACGAGGACAGGAAGTCTGATGAGCAGACAGATAGACAGACAGAAGAGAGAGGGGCGAGGACAAGAGCGTTGAATGCCCGAGAGTGGATGAAATCGGGCAGCCGCTTGGCTGCAGTGCAGAGGCCACTCACGCACTGGGAGGGAGGGAGGGACTGGAGGAGGCGATCCGGTCAGCTGGCTCAGCCAGGCACTCCAGTCTTCTCCGCAAATCAGGCTGCATCCCTGTCGCAGATTGCTTGCTTCTGGCGCCCCGTGGTGATCACTGGGGTCTCGACTCTCGACAAGTTCAGCCTTCAGGTGAGCGTTATTAATGATTCCATTGCCGTGCGAATGGAGGACGGTCATCACGCAGCATGTTCGGCTACTCATGGTCCAAGCGCCCATCCCCCAGGCCAAGTCCATGCTGTTTCGGGCAGGTCTTGGGTCGGGTCTTGTTTACGACCACTGATGCCTCGTGCGCACTTCACTGTGCAGGTGGTCATCATGCGCGGATCATCATGGCGTAGGGGGGCATCTCAACGTGGTGGAGCATCGACCGACCCGCTTGCTGTGTGCTAGTCAAGGGACGGGCCTCGCCGTGCGCTGACCTCGAGCGAGATCCAGAGTCAGGACTCTGGATCTCGCTCGAGGATTGAACAGCCGAAGACTCTCATTCAGCATTGAGGAGTTTTGGTACCACTGCAGCTGGGTGAAGAATTTTCAAGCACGAGCGGACAGACGGCTCACTCACCCCCCTGGTCTGCATGACTGCAGCCAGAGGCTGGGGTAAGACATCTATGATCCGGGGAAACCCAAGCGCCATTCAGGAATGATGCTGGCTGCACGACACGGCAGGCCGAATGAAGCAACCCGACAGATGACCCCTTGCCGTCGGAGATGCCCGTTTTCCTTTGCCTCGCAGCCCAATTACCAGGGATGGATGTGCTTCACCCAATGAGAACGACGAGGCGACGCCTTGCAGACCCGTGGCTACCAACACATCACGACGATGGATGGATGCAGCAGCGTGCAGGGTGCAGTAACAGGGTGGTCCCCACAGGGACGAGGGAGGTTCTTTGACTTGGCGGGCGGCTTGATCACGAAATGCGGCGAATGCGCGGATGACGAGGTTGATGAGCATGATGATTATGGCCAAGTACGAAAGTAGGTACGGCACGTACAGCAAAAGAACCCTCGAAAGACCCAGGACCAGAACCAGACTGCCATGTGCGCGCCTAAACTCCAACCAAAGCAAGCCAATCCATACGTAGTGGGACACCCCAAACTCAGATGCCCGTCGTCGTGACATCAAAGATCCCGTTGCGCCAGCCCTGCCGCTCATACTCGTACACCTGCTGCTCGGCATTGCGTCCCTCCTCCTGCCACAGCTTGACGAGGCTGCCCGGCGCGTAGCGACCGCGGAAGACCCCGCCGCCCGGCTGGACGCCCACGCGCGCGTCGACGTCCGGGTCCGGGGCGGGCGTGAGCCGGGCGGCGACGGCCCTGACAAACGTCCACAGGTCCTGGGGATCCGCGATGCGCGTGGCGCGGAGACGCTCGCGCGCGAAGAGAAGCTCCCGGTTCAGCGTCTCGAGACCCTCGGTGATGCCCTTGGCGATCTGGAACTCGAGCGCCTTGCGGACAATGGGCCGGACGAGCGGCTTGAAGAGCCAGGCCAGGCAGGCCAACTTGGACTGGCTCAGGGTGTAGTTGAGGTGGTGGATCGTGACCGTGACGCCGCGCAGGGCCACCATGCTGTCCATCCGGTCGCGGCCAATCTCGAGGTCGACGGCAATGTCGAGACCGCGCTCGTCGAGGTGGAAGCCGGCGATGCCCTCGTCCATGACCCGCAGGAGGCCCGAGTGGAGGCGGAGCCAGTACCCGAGGTCGTCGGCGGCGATGGACATGCCCGAGATCTTGACGCGCACGAGGGAGCGCATGGTGGAGGCGACACGCATCCGGGCCTTGCGCACCTGGACGTCGTTTTGTGTCGTAATGTTGAGCTGAAAGGGGAGGAACGAGCTCTGGTTGACGGTCCGGCCCGGCTCGAGGATGAGGTTCTCCATGAGCAGGTCTATGGCCGGCGTGGACACCTCGACGCGGGGGATGGGTATGTACTGCACGGCGTTGATGGCCATGGGCACAAAGACGTTGACAGAGTCGGTGATGAGCGCCCCGTTGGTGTAGTGGCCGGTGGGGGACAGCAGGTGGGCGAGGCGCGTGGACGTGCGGAGCAGCTTGTGCACGTCCGTGTCGCGCAGAAAGGACTGGAACGCCGCGCGGAGGGCGTTGAGCAGTTTGCTGAGATCCTCGGACATGTTCGAGTCCGACTGGAGCTTCTTGGACTTGGTGCGGACCTCGTTCAGCCGCTCGTCGACGTGGTCAAAGAAGTCGGGGTCGGCCAGCATGTCCTGCACCATGTTGGCGATGTTGCGGACGAGCTCGTCAAAGTCCGGGTCACTCTTCCCGTCCTCCACGACGGCCCGGAAGGCGTCCTCCACCTTGTTCCACTCGTCCTTGTCACCAATGGACGTGAGGAGCATCCAAAAGTTCTGGAGGGCCCGGTCCGCTTCCGGGTTGCGATCGACGTCGTCCTCGACGGCGTCGACGGCTTCGGTCGCGGCGTGCGAGTAGGCCAAGAGGTACCGCCGGATCAAGGTAGACAGGGTCGACACGGATTGTGAGTAGTCGGGCTTCTTGCGCAGCTTCATGACGGCCGCCTTGAGTCGCGACACGAGCGCCTCCTGCTCCTCGCCCGTCGCGTGCTCGACGACGCTGTCCCCCGCCTCGTGGGCCACCTCGGACGCGCCCTGCGCGAGGATCTGGGTGACCTCCTTGGCCTCGCCCGCGAGGTCTTCCTTGGTCGGCGGCGGCGCCTTGGAGCTGCCGTTGGCCTGCTGGACGGCCTTTTGGTCCTCCTCAGAGGGCTCGAGCCTCCGGCCCGCCTTGTTGGACACGTCGGCGAGGCTGAACGCCGTGTCGCGAAAGACCTCTCTGGCGACGGTCTCCACGTCGGACAGGAAGACGCGGAAGTCGGAGTTGGTGAGCAGCAGGGACCCGACGGTGCGCAGGCTCTCATATGCCGCCGCCGTGTCGCCCTTTGCCTTGGCGGCCGACGCCCTGGCGGCGAGGTCCTCCGTGTCCACGTTCAGGCGCGCCTTCGCCAGACACCACAGAAAGTCCTGGATCTGGTCCTCCGAATTCTTGTTCTGCAGCAGCGTGATGAGCTGCTGGAGGAGGAGCTTGGTGGTGCGGAGGAGGGCGCGTCCCGCGTCGCTCAGATCGGGCACGTCCGGGTTGAGCACGTCGGCGGACAGCAGAGACCGGAGGTGCACAATGGTCTGCTCGTTGGAGGGCATGTAGCCCTTGGACATGGCGCGGAGCATCTGGTACGTGTGCAGCTTCTCGTGCAGACGCGCCTGCAGTGCGGTATCGTCATTGTAGCGAGGCAGCAGAGGCTCGCGCTCGCCGTCGCGGCTGTTGCCGCCACCAAACCCGAGGCAAGACAGCATGGCGTGAATGAAGCTGGCGCGAGGTCGCTGGAGAAATGGCGATGTAGGAGCCAAGGTTGGCAAGGGCCATTGCGCTCACCGTGACGGGATCTTGGAGTCAGGAGTCTGGACTTGAACACAGTCCGTAGTGATGACGTCGCGCATCTCAAATCTCAGATCTCAGATCTCAGATCCCAGATCCCCGGATCGTCCAACGGTGAGGAAGATGAAGTGATAGCGTGGGCGTAGCGCATCCCCTGCCAAGGCAGACCGCCCTCCCCAGAAGATAAAGTTCCGACTACAAAAGTACAGAGGCTAATGTTGACGTGCGGAACGAGAGCATGCATGTACCTTGTGTATGGTGATTAAATCAAACAACTTGGGACCATGGTCCTGTTGGAGATGCTCATCTAGACTACCCGGGACAGTTCAGCGAGTCAAAACCCCACCCTCAAGTTCTCAACCCTGGCTGCCATTGAATGCAAACTCGAAGCCATCGCTATTCTCCATCCCCGAAAGGAAGAACTCGAGGGCCGTCTCGTCGGGCAGCGACAGGTCATCGAGGAACATGTCCCCCGAAGGCACGTCCGCATACGCAGGGCCGACAGTCGTCTCGCTCGCCGCCGTCCATGCACCTGGGGCGCCGTCTCTCCACACGCCACTGTTGTGACCACCCGGAGCAGCTTGCTCAGCCGCCCCTAGCCGCAACGAGAATCCAGGGCCCTCCCCTCTGTGATGGCCGCCAACCTGCTGGTGGTGCCTGACGTGCTTGGAGGCGCGCTGCTCAAACAGCTGCAGAACACCCTGGGCAAAGCGCCAGTGCGGGCACAACCCCCGAAGCGAGGCCCGCAGCGAGTCGAACGTCTGCTGGGCCTTGGCCGAGACGAGCGGGTTGGAGGACGCGTTCGACTCGCTGCTCACGTGGACCAGGGCGGTGAAGAGGGCGTGGATGCTGTAATGCCAGAGCTTCGTGAGGGCGCCCCGCTGGAGCATCGTCTCCAGGATGGACGCCATGGCGAGGGTCGCGCTGCTGCAGAGGCCCGGATCGCTGCACGCCTCCGAGACCGGGTCGGGCTGGCCCTTGGGAGGCGGCCGATGGGAGAGCACGAGGAAGTTGTTGTACGTCAGATGCAGCGTCGCCTGCCACGGGTCGACGCCGGCGTACGACAGCTGCATGCTGGGCGGCAGCTGCTGCGTGAACTGCGCCAGGGCCACGTCGGCGTCCCTGGCGGCTCGGATGCGACTCTCGGGCGTCGCGCGGAGGGCCCAGCGCGCACGCGCGGCGGCGGCGATGACGGCGCAGAGTCTCGCGTGGTGGACGACGAAGCTCACCTCGGCGTTGCGTATGCCCTCGAAATTGGCCTCGGTGAGCTCTGGCACGTCGGACTCTTCGAGGTTCCTGGCTCCGCGTCAGCAGGTGGACGTTGCACGTCGTTAGGCTATGGGTCTCACATGGCCTGTGGCCGGCCATACGACAACGACACCATGGTGTCAAACTGAAAGAGAACCCAGAACAGACGCGCCCACGTCCGCTTCCCCGTGGGCGTCATGCTCGACTGGCTCACGTCGCGGTGCATGCCGCAGCCCAGGGCGGTCCGGGTCGCGATGCCGATCCAGTGCCAGGCATTCGCGACAATCTCCTCCAGACCGTCCGAGTACCACGTCAGCAGCAGCGCGACCTGGACGTACATGGTGCGGTCCTGCTCGAAGCGGTAGTCGACGAGGAGCTTCGCCCTGCGGAAGAAGGTCGGCTGGAGCGCCCGGATGGAGCTGTCGTCCGCGGCGAGGACATGGCTGCCGACGACAAAGATGGCGTTGAGGAGCGGCAGCGCGACGGGGCACCGGGGCACCTTGCCCTCGTACACGGCCATGAAATGCTCCTCGTCGACAATGGGCCAGCCCGTGTTGACGTTGTCAAAGTAGGCGCGCAGCAGCCGGGCCTCCATCTCCCGGGACGGCCGCTCCAGCGCCTCGGGCGGGACGTGCAGGTCGTGGGCGGTGAGTTTGCGGGCGAACTGGCGGTTGCCAAAGTGGAAGACGCTGTCGTAGCCCGGCTGGCACGAGCTCTGGCGGACGAGGTAGTTGAAGTTGGACACCTCGGTGCCGATGAAACAGGTCCGGCCGTGGTGGTCGATCATGGCTGTCCGCACGTCCTCACGGTCGATGAACTCGGCCAGGTTGCCCGGGTCATTCTCCTCGGGCGAGTTGGCCGCGTCGCGAGGTGTGGCCGTGTCTGTGGCCGTAGTCGACAGGCTCGCCGTCTCCCGTGGCCGGATGGGCGCCTCCCTGGATGGCCTCCTGCTGCTGCGCAGCCTCTTCTTCTCGTACATGAGGCATCCTGCGCGGCCCGTCGTGCGACAGTTGGTGCACGGCGCGCCCTTGTCCAGGACATCGCAGCGGACCTTGCGCTGGTGGCAGTGTGTACATGCTCTTCCGTCTGTTGGCAGATGAGTGTTAGCAACGTCGGCATTCTGCCGTCTGCCTTGATGGGAGGTGGGAGTCGACAGTAGGCAGGCATACGTACTGGCTCGTCGTCGGCCGTTGGCGGGACGCTCTGGACGCCCGGGGTCCATCAGGTCCAGTCTGCCCAGCTCAGTTCATCAATCAATTGGTAAGCGAGACAAGGACGGACTCGAATCTCGGGAAGAAGACGAGGAGCTTGGTCTGAGGATGTGTCAGTGTGAAAGGAAGAACGGAAGTTGGGGCCAATGACGCCTCGACGGCGCCCTTTTCTCTTGGCGACGCCGGACCGGATGTCGAGGAGGAGGGCCGGCCTCGGCGCTTCTGGCCAATCACTGTCTGTCTCGTGCCACTTGCACGGAAGTTTGTCCAAGGACTCGGTCTTGTTGATGCTTCCGTGACAAGTCTCGAATGCTGTCATGGAGAGGCATGTGCAGCAGAATTTGCAGAATCCACAAGAAGACATTAGGTCATGGAAGCCACGAGAGAGATATAAAGGCGGCCAGGGAGGTGGCCCCAACCTGGACCAGAACAGACCATTCATTGCCTTGGAGCTTCAACTCGACGACATGGCTTCCACGGACGGCACCACGACGCCTACCATGCTAGAAAAGGCCCCAGCACCTCTCGAGGCACTGTCCTTGGACAAGAGCTGGGATCCGACAAAGCTGTCATGGGTGCGTCTGCGTGCATGTACCAGCCTACTTGAAGAGACTGGACTCTGACATGTAACAGCAACGCAAGGCACACGTTGTCTTTGCTGGCTTCACTTGCACCTTCAATGGCAACATGGGCTCCTCCATGCCCTCGGGGGCCCTCGACGCCATCGCCGACGAGTTCCACGTCTCGCAAAAGATCCATCTCACCCTCCTCAACTCCCTCTACATGATCGGCTACGTGCTCGGGCCCCTCATCTTCGGACCTCTCAGCGAGTACATTGGTCGACGGCCCGTCATGATCGGCACGTTCCTCGGCTATCTCGTCTTCACGCTGGCGTGCTCGGCGGCACCAACCTACGGCGCCCTCCTGGCCCTCCGGCTGCTGTGTGGGATCAACGCGGCGGCGCCAACCACGGTCATCAGCGGTCTCTATGCTGATATCCTCGACAACCCGTCGCAGCGAGGTTTCGCTCTGTCCACGTACATGACCGTCACGACCTTCGGGCCCATGATAGGGCCCATCATCTCCGGCTACTCTTCACCCGTCTCGTGGCGATGGCCGTTTTGGGCCGCCGGTCTCATTGCCGCGCCCGGGCTGCCCATCGTCCTCACCATCCCCGAGACGTTTGCGCCCGTCCTTTACAACAAGATGATCAAGGAGCGTATCAAGACGGGCGGCGGCGGCCACACGGGGGGTTGCGCGTCGACAGAGTTGCAGCCCTTTAACGTCCGCAAGATCTTCCTCCGGCCCATGACGCTGCTCGTCACGGAGCCGATTCTGTTCTCGACGGCCATCTACTTGGCCCTCGCCTACTCTGTCTTCTACCTGCTCTTCCAGGCATATCCTATTGTGTATCAAGGTGCGTTCCTCCACCACTGTGTCTGTGAGAGTTCATGCTGACTCTTCTGATGTCAGACTTTTACGGCTTGGCGCCCGGACCAGCAGCCTTGGCGTACCTACCTGGTTCGTCTCCCCAAAATCGAGATCCGTTCCAAGACTAATGATATTTCCAGTGGCCCTCGGCGTGGTCCTTTCCATGGTCGTATTCTACGTCTTCAACAATTACTACAACCGGTCAGCCCGCGCAGGCAAATCCTGGGCGCAGCGCGAGATCAACAGGAGACTGCCGATTGCATGCATCGCCTCACCTTGGTGCGCTACTCTTTTCTCTCTTCTGACCGTGCCGCTGCTGACCACAGCCAGCATGACCATCTCCCTATTCTGGCTGGGCTGGACGACCTTCAGGACCATCTCGCCCATCGTCGTGTCCCTGGGCGGCATTCTTTGGGGCGTCGGCTTCCAGCTCATCTTCATGGGCATGTCCAACTACCTGACCGACGTCTTCCGCCAGCACTCGGCCTCGGCGCAGGCCGCCAGCAGCATGACCCGGTCCATTGGCGCCGTCGTCCTGCCCCTCGCCGCGCCCGCCATGTACGGCGACCTCGGCCTCCACTGGGCCCCGTCGCTGCTGGCGTTCATCGCCCTCGCCATGGGCCTCATCCCGTTTGCGTTCATCCGCTACGGCGACGCCCTGGCCAAGAGGAGTCGGTACGCGCAGGCGGTCGATCTGCCCAAGGAATAGCGGGCGGGGGGGGGGGGGGGGTTCCCCTTGATGGAAGATGTGGATAGAGACATGACATAACGACGTGCATAGCGATTTATATACACCTTTTTCACCATCACGCAAACAGCGGCCCGTGGAGATACTTGAAGCCCGAGTCGCAGGCCACCGTGACAACCACCTTGCCTGGCCCGAGCTCCTTGGCCAGCTGGATCGCCGCCACGACATTCAGACCCGTCGATACGCCGGCAAAGACGCCCTCCTCCGCAGCCAGCCGCCGACACATGCGCCGCCCCTCCTCCTCCTCGACGGCACGCGCCTCGTCGTATAGCGTGTCGTCCAGCAGCGGGGGGATAAAGCCAGGACCGACACCATCCACACTGTGGGCACCCGTCCTCCCCTCTGTCAGGAGAGGTGAGCTGGCAGGCTCGAGCACGACAACCTTGGTATCCTTCTTCTTCTCCTTCAGCACGGCCGCCACGCCCATGGCCATACCCGCGCCGCCCACAGCCGCGCAGAACGCATCGATCCCCTGCGGCAGCTGCGCGACGAGTTCCTCCCCGAGCGCGCGGTAGCCGACGAGGGCATCCTTGTTCCTAAACTGGTTCGCCAGCAGCCAGCCCTCCCTGTCGGCCGTCTCGCTGGCACGGTCGACGAGGGACCGGAAAAAATCCGGCGTGATCTTGCCCGTCGGGCTCTCGACGAGATCCAGCTCGGCGCCCAGGGCGGCCATGGTGCGCAGCTTTTCGGGCGCGAAGACGGGCGAGCAGACGGCGCGAAAGGGGTATCCCTTGAGGGCGCAGACGTAGGCGAGCGACGAGCCGGTGCTGCCGCCCGTGGCCTCGACAATCTTCATGCCTGGCGTGAGACGACCGTCCTGCTCGGCCTGCTCGACGAGGGCGCGGGCGAGGCGGTCCTTGTAGGAGGCGGTGGGGTTCATGTACTCGAGCTTGATGTAGATGTCGGCGCAGCTGTCCTGGGGGACGACCTTGCCGAGGCGCAGGAGGGGGGTGTTGCCGATGACATCGAGGGGATGATGGCAGGCTGGGCGGATGTTGCTTGCCATGGTCAGTTCTGGTGAATGAGAGTTGACGGGGGAGGGGATGAGAAGGGGAGGAGGAGGTTGGTGGTTTCTGGCTCACTGGTGCCAGATCCAGCCTCAATCATCACGACCCTCTCTCTCTCTTCATCTTTACTCATCCACAAAGTAACGCACAACTCTAGCTAAGACAAACTAGGCAACTATTTCCGCCAAGCATTGTATCTACCACACGAAATCTTTACACAGTACGTACTCCGTAGCAAGGTCATTCATTGCATAGTCAATTTGCATAGTAGTCAATCGTCGTCGTGTACCGTACCAATGCATGATTGCGTCTACCCCAGCTCGTCTGCCCTCCTCCTGTGACTTTGACCGTGACTGCCACGCGTCATGATGCCCCGACAAATTAAGAGAAAACAGGTAACGACAACACGAAACTCCTGTATGCTTGCACCGCAACCAAAACACAAAAGCAAAGAGGGGACGACCCCATCACCTCACCTGGCCCCGTTGACCCCCTTGGGCAAGGCCGGCACGGGCGGCGGCACCGCATCGTCCTCCTCGTCCTCATCCTCGTCCGGCAGCCCCTCCCCGCTGCCGAGCAGCTGCGCGACATTCTTCATCTCGTAGTGCTTCTTCCGAGCCTCCTCAAACTTGCGGTGCTTGGCCTTCTCCTCCTCGGACCAGCCCGCCATGTCCGGCGCGTCCATGTCGTGACGCCCGTCGTCGACGCTCTCATTGTCGACGTGCGCCCTCTTCTCGGCAGACGGTGTCCTCTCGACCGGCCACGAGACAGCCTCCTCGGGCTCGCCGAGCGACAGGCCGGGAATGTCCTCCTCCGCAGGCGCACGGGCAGCCTTGCGACCGTGACCACCAGGACCGTCCGACATGACCACGTCGCCGCCGCCGTCCACGTTCTCGCCCTCGTCCTCGTCCTCGTCCGACGGGTCTTCAGCCGGGTCGTAGTGCTTCGCATAGGGCGTCTTGGGCTCGTCAATCTTCATGGTCGCCGTGCGCTCCTGCTCGGTGAGGTAGAGGTTCGCCTCGTCCCACTTGAGGCGCTGGCTGGTGCCGTCGTCGGCGCGCGCGTGGCCGGAGAGGCGGCGGGCGGCGGCGGCCTGGCGCGCGGCGGATGAGGAGCGACGGTCCCCGGCGTTGAAGTGCGTGTTCTCGAGGGTGATCTCCTTGCTGGACAGGGATCGCTCGCGGCGGCGGGGGTCGTCGGGACGCGCGGGGGCGGCGGCTGGAGGAGGGGAGGGGTGGATGTTCTGTGTGCTGGGGTTCTTGAGGATGCCTTTTATTTTTTTTTCTGTTAGTATTTTCTTTCCCTTGGTTGCTTTGTGCCACTGTACCTTTGGGTCGCTTTGCATCGGGCCCTGGCGGCGAGTGCACAGGTGATGAGTGATCAACCATGGACGCCATCGTTCCGTGTGTGAGGTAGCGCGGTGGGGGAGTGGAAGTGCGATCAGCTTTGTCGATGGTGTTTTGTGGTCGCAGGTATTGGGGACAGGTTGCGGTCGCGTGGATAAGGGGAGGCGATCGGCGACAAGATTGATGGTGTGATGCAGGAAGCACAAGCTCTCAGCACGTGAGATGACTGGGCTGCTAATGATGAGCTCAGTCGGTGCCTGCAGTGGTGAGGGGTGACACAGCGGGCAGGTGGTCCGCTTTCGACGATGGACTGGAGACTGACTGGAGACTGACTGGAGGTGGCTGGACTCTCTGAAACCTACAGCTGGCTGATGACGATCCCAATGTTGGTTGGGCGGTCTCGAATCGGCTCTGCTGCAATCATTCATTCACTCCTTCACTCCTTCATTCATTCATTCATTCGTTCCGTCGATGGTGCGTGATGAGTGTCTGGGCAGAAGCGGGATGACGGCATGCGGTGGGTGAGCTTGCAGAGGGTCCAGACTCCAGCCCAGGGCCTACGCACTAAGCTAAGGCCATGCTCCAGGCCCACTCATGCCAGCGGAGCGCTGTAGATTGTGACGATGCACCTGAGGTATCCTGTACTAGATCAGGATACTTTGTAATTAGTGCTTTTATCATCGCTAACGCTCATTGTATCGGATGGGCGGAACAATGTCCACCACGGTAGCACTAGCAGGCAATGTTGAATGAGAATCGATTTTATCATCATGGTATCCCCAACACAGTGTAATATCAGAACTACAGTCTACGCCCATTACCATCATCGCGAGGTCGGCGTCGTCTCGAGCTCCTCCATGTCCGAGTCCGGCATCAGCCCCATGATGGCGTGGAGCACGTTGTAGGACGTCCGCCAGCACACACTCTTGTGCTGCTCCCCCTGCCAGATCTCGACGCAGCTCTTCAACGTGTCCAGGATGATCTGCCGCGGCACAATCTCGCAGCCCGTCCCCGCCGCGCCCGCCAGCGGCGCGTCCGGCCGCAGCACGTGCACGCTCGCCTGTAGCGCCGCCGAGAAGAACTCGTGCGTAAAGGCACGCCCGACCAGGTCGTACCGGTGCGCCGGGTCCTCGTACCAGAGGTTGCGGTAGTGCATCAACACCGCCAGCGAGCACTCGAGCGACGACCAGTACGACTCGGGGAACATGGTCGGCCCGTCCAGGTGCAGCGCAAACGGCCGGTGCAGCACCATGAGGCACCGCCGCAGGTAAATGTCCACCGTCGTCCGCTGCAGCTCGTTGGTGCACACCCGCTGCGCGTGCGCCATCAGCGCCCGGATCTGCGCGTTGTACCGGAGCACCTCTGGGTACGGGATCTGGTCGTTGCCCGAGTTGAGCTGCACCAGGATCGACAGCACCACCGGCAGCGACTCGGACAAGATCTGCTGCAGCCCGCTGTGCTCCCCGAGCTCCGGCATGCTCTTGAGCGAGCTCAGCTCGTCTGGCCGCGTCAACGGCGGCATCCCCGTCGGCAGCGACAGCTTGATGTCCAGGTACAGAATCGTCAGCCACAGCCGCCGCCGCGACGACCGCTCCGCCGCGTCCATGCCCTCCGAGCTGTCCTGCGGCAGCCCAAAGATGAAACACATGCGCACCAGCAGGCCCAGCAGCGACCAGCACGAGTCCACAAACCAGCACGTCGGGTTGCACACCTGCTTGGCCACCACCATCAGACACGTCGCCTTGAGCGAGGCAAACGTCGGCCGGAACATGAACGGCGTCTGCATCAGGCACGCCTCGGCACCCATCATCAGCTCCGTCGCAATGCTCGGCTCCTCGTGGCTCGGCGTCGCAAACGCACCCAGCCCCATGACCATGAGCAGCTGGGCGAGCCAGCACAGGCTCACCGAGTTGGTGTCCTGCCAGTATCCCTCGAGCTCGCGCTGGAATACGGCCACGTCCAGGATCGGGTTGACGCAGTCCAGCAGGTTGATGTAGCGTTCAATGTACGTCTGGCACCGCGGCCGCTCGCTCTCCACCAGCTTGACCACCGCGTCGCGCGCATAGTACTTTGTGGCGCCCGGCGTGCCGAACGGGAAGTTGCCCGGCAGCGTGAAGTTGGCGAGACACGCGTTGGTCGCCACGTTCTCCAGCGCCGTCGTCAGGGTCGGCGACTCCTTGGTCGTCAGGTGGGCAATCTGCGTTTCGTTAGCTGGGGGTTCTGCACTTGCATGGATTTGTGGATGCCCTCGAGGTAGCCGGTCCGCTCGCTTCCCGTACCTTGGTCATGAGGTCTCGCCAGTGGCTCGATCCTCGCGGCTCGTGGCTGACGTGCCATGTGGCCTGCGTCGACTTGGTGATCTCGCTGCCGGACGAGGGGTTGGGCACTGTAGGACAGGGGAACTTGCCGCCGTTCGGTCCCTTGTTGTAGCTGTAGTAGCACTCGCGCCCGTTGCCGCTGCTCTTGCAACGGCCGCACGGCAGCTCCTTGTCGCACTTGACCTTGAGGCGATGGCAGCGCAGGCAGCTCAGGCAATTGCGCTTGCGCTTCCTCACGACCCTCTGCCCGGCGTGGGCACCGCCACCACCCGAGGAGGGTCCCGCGACGATCGCCGCGTCGTCCCCGAGCGATGATGCGTCGACGGCCCCCGACAGCGAGTTGATGAGCAGCTTCTGCTCGCTCGACTCCTCGACCGAGTCGGAGGGGGAAATGAGGCCGTTCTTGCCATCCGGGTTGTCCTCGTACTTGAGGACCGGGGACGCGGACGAGCCGTTGGGGGCCGACGCAGAACCACCACCACTACCGGGATTCTCAAAGCTGCACCGCACGCCGGCCTGCACGCAGCGGGAGCAGGACGGCTTGAGGAGATCGCAGCGGCGCTTAAAGTGTCGACAGCGGTCGCACGTCTTGACCTCGCGCATGTGCGGCATGGCTGGCGGCGCGCGCAGTGCTGGCTGGCTGGGTGCCTAATCGATTCGTGCGCCCGGGGCGGCGGGTGCGCGTCGTGGAGGACGGACAATCGGTCGGTTCGATCGGTCGTTGGTGCTCGGGGCCACGGTGTTAAGCGTCGCACGGCTGCGGACACCCGTTGGTTTGGGTCGAGATGGTGTCCCTGTTGGCTTGGCTGTGATGTGTTGTCCAGTCCTCGAGTTGGTCGAGTCGAGTTGGGACTGTTGGCTCGAAGAAGGCGACTTTTGATTCGTAAAGTGACTGGAGCAGCACCGACTGACTGTATGGCAGGCAGGTGCGCGGGCGGGAAGGCGGGCGGGCGTTTGGTCTGCTGGAGCCTATGGGCCGTCCTGTCCCGGCCAAAAACACTATTGTCTGAACAGAGATTTTACACCCACAGCACCGTGAGTGGATGTTGGGCTGGTGGAAAGGACGAGCAAGCCACTCTACCTGTAGATAGTCGACTGAGCATTGGAGAAGGGGGCGGCAGGGGGGCGATAGCGATAGCGGAGAGCCCGTCGTCCAGACGCAGGCGGAGCGAGATGAAGCACTGAAGGCTGCAGCTCTGACAACATGCAGCCGTGTGACAGCGTCGCAACCAACTGGAGTCTGGAGGCGAAGCGAGTTGCGGAGGGAGATCCGGCGGTTGGATTGGGGCCTTTGGGGAGACTGACACTGACACAGCAGCCCACCATGAGCGATGCATCAGGTACTACATGTACTAGAGGCCGACTGGGAGGAATGTGAACCCCCTGGCCTACTCCTGCTGCTGGGCAGCGTCCAGTCTGGTGACTGGTGGAGCGTTAGCCTGTTCGTGCGTTCGTTGGCTGCCTGGGCAGACGCGCTCCACTCTTGACTCGCTGCACTCTCACGGCCTATGATAGGCCACAGGCCAAAAGGCCCTACAATTACAGGCAGGCCATGAATCCTGCGGACGGTGAATCGGCAGCTAACCAGGCCCGTTGCACAGGGTCGGTACTCACGTACCTCGGCTAGCAAAGTAAAGCACTTGCTTGATTACTCGCGTCGATCGCAAAAGCAGCCAGCAATCCATGCTAGCAGTGTACCACAATTCCGTTCGCGCTCAATGTCGCAATTCCGGCGCAGTGGTGCCAGTGGTGCCAGTGGTGCTGGTCGATCCCCGGGTAGCCTAGCGTCCCGATTGAATCCTACGTGTACAGTGGCTGCAAGCTGCTGCAGCTGCAGCAGATACGGATCCTTCCAGCAGGAGGGGCGCACGGGATTCTCGCTGGAGACGCCAAACCCGCCGCCCAGCCTCCACTCCAGTCTTCAGCAGTCGGCGTGATGGAGAAAACCCTACCGACCGGTGTCTCTGACGAGTGACGACGGTCTGACCACGCAGACGTCGCAGAGGCGAATGTCTCGGCATCAGGAGGAAACATGGCTAGCTCGAAGTCACCATACCGCTGCCGATCCGGCAATCGACATGGCAGTTGCACAGCCGCCCCCATCCTGAATCCTTGATGCGACGTTGTCTCGAGACTGACAGCGAATGCTCGAGGGCCGACAGGCATCACAGGGCTGTCATGCATTGGAAAAAGTCAATTGATCTGTGCTCTGCATCTCGAGCCTTTCCTCGGCATTTCGCCGAATTGCAGGGCGCGCATCGTCTCTCGGGCAGTACTTTTGTCTTCTGTGCGTGGCGGCCATGCTCGACTGGAGGATGTCGATCTCCTCCTACTTCAGGCGCGCGAGTTGCTATACAATCTTGGCAAGTATATCACCGTGACCCTGTTGGCTGTCAACGGCGTCTGCATGAGCGGCAGACGTGCCCATTGGTCGCCGCGGCTGCTGTAGTTGTGATAGCACGGTCAACCACAGACTCTCAATGCCCTCCATCGGCCGAGCTTCCTGATGAGCCGCACATACGTTCCTTTGATGGGTGCCGTTTACATCTTGACTGCTTTTCCTCCGCGCGTGCATTGGCACTTGCCTCGGCAAGCAGCGGTGGTCAAGAATGGGCTGAAGTATTCATGTCCGTAAGGATCCATGGCCTGAGGACTGTCTTGCTGCTTGCTTGAATGGCCAAATGATACATCGCAGAAGATGTACCCGAGTCCGAAACTCTCGACACCAAGTCTTAACTGACACATTGGGACGTCTCAACATAGTGCTATGTGTCCGGATGTGAGAGGCAGCATTAGAGCTTGCTGATCGATTATGGGCTTGCAAAAGCCAAGCGAAACCAGCGGGCTTGATAAGTTACTTATTCATACCTGAATGTCGAAGTCGATATGCTTCCGTTGAGCTGCGGTGTCTTGCTCTCAGTTTTCTTGTCGAGCATCTGAGTTCACTGGCGGCAGCATCGCCATTCTGCGCACTCTATTCATGCATGATCTTAATCAGTCTTTTCCCCATCTGAAAAAAACGCTTCCCTGGACCTTGGCTCACATTAGGGTACATTGGAGCCTTCATGTTCCCGTCGAGTACCACACCAGAGGTGTGCATCTCTCCGTACGCCAAGCTGAGCTCGCCATTGTCACTAGCAGACTCAGCTAGAAGTCATCCACAAGCTCGTGGAATAGCTGCAATACCCCCATAGCTTCAATCCTATATTCAGAGGTCAGTATTCATAGAGGAACTCGGCCATGCAGAGGCCCCATTTCACTCCTGACTGGAACTGAGCGAGACCTTGTTCCATTGCTCCGCATGTGGCTCTAGCTCTCCTAGACAAGATGATGCGCCAGGGAATCATGGCCAACTTCCAAAGGAGACACACCTGGCGAGGTGGCTTGAAAGCACGAGGGATGATGAGAGAGTTTCGTGTCTGTTGTCACATCCTGGGGGGGCATTCCTCGGAATACAACTATCAATGCCATCTGTGCTTGCAATCATAATCACTCATGAAATAAAAGGGGTATCTCTGAAAACCATCCTGGCCACCTGGGTCCACTCACGCCAAAGGGCCCGAACTCAGCACTCGTCCACCACGCGTCCCAATATAGATACCAGGCATCGCGACCGCCCTGTCCGGGAACGATGACCTGCGATAGTACACAACGCGGCACACCGGACAATCGAATCGCTCAATCATGAACCAACTCGCTAAGCATCGTGCGTGGAAGGCGTGACCGCAGCTGTTCAGGGTCAACACGTCGTCCATTCCCTCCTCCACGGCACCGCCATTGCCTGTCCTCTGCGACCCGGTCGTCGGCAATGCACCCTTGAAACTGAGCCTGCCCCGGCAGAACCTGGCCCTCTTACTCTGTCGACTCGCTGCGGCCGTGGTGAGCTCGTCGAGCGCGAGCCGTATGCGGCTGCCATCCATGTGCGCTGGTTCGGGGACCAAGGGGCCAATGCAGATGGGACTTGACGTCGTCAGCTCAAATTCAACAGCCACAGGGAGGAGTGTGTATAATTCCCAGGCCAAGGGAAGCCGTACCATTCTCCAAGGTCCAGCTGAGCAGCTGCGGCCTCGGTATCCTCCACAGGATGCGTCGAGCACGCGGTCACGGTACTCAGCTTCCTTCGCGCGCGACCTAGCTCTTTCGGCCCTGGGTCAGTTGCGGCTATGGCACGAGCTGATCGCCGGTAGGAAGAGATGACGCCCGTTCTGTGCGATACGTCATGTTAAACACGGCCCTCGTGAGCAATGGCCCGAAGCGTGTCTGCCACGGCCCGATTCAAAGGTTCACTCTACTCACAGCGGCGCGACGATAAAAATAAGACAGAAAATAACAACGAGCACAATGCTCAGGTCCTCCATGATGGTATTTCGACGAAACGTCCCGGTTCACGTAAGAATGTAGCTGGCGCCTCGGGTAGGTAAAGCGAAGTTTCCTTTCAGTGGGGGAAGGCGCGATTCGCGACGGCACCGACAATAGATCGTAGCATCCCAGCCAACACGCCCTTGATGCTGGGAATTGAAGATAATGCGGTGCAGATTCCGGCGCGAGGAGTTACAGATCGAGAAGGAAGCCAGACACCGTGATAAGTTGATGCGTGGAAGAGGACGATGAGGGAGAGTTCGATAGCTTGCTGCTCGCCGTCATGATCGCACGACTTCCCCACAATCGGTCACTGTAACTCACTAGTAGCCACTACCAACTCGGTCACCTGGTCACACCACAGACGACATGGAGCTGCGTCATTCAGGATTCGCCTATTGTTCAGATACACACGGTCTCTCGTCTCGTGAGTATTATACCCTAATTACTCGCGTCGTCTTTGGCTGGGCGTGACAATTCACAGTGCTGACATCACACCATGGAGGCTACCGACGGCGATCCCTTCACCGTTCATTGAAGTCCATGGCTACGTGCATTGGCCGGAAGGTGCGGGGATCCGTCGAGCTACCGTGTCACAATGTGATACCGCAGCGCGCTTGTTGCCGACAAACAGAACAGCGCTGGTCTCGATGATTCCAATTCCCTCTCGGCTGGCTGGTCGCTTATCATTGGACCTTACCACCGAACCAAAGGGAGGAAATGGCCTGACGCAATCCCTCCCCCCACGGCAGGGATTCTCAGGACTGGAGTCTGGAGATTGGACTGGGGACCGGGGTGACTGTCTTCAGCCCACGCGGCCTTGATTGGGCCGGGAACATCCCCCTTGGCTGCGTGGTCACTTGACGTTGGCTCCGGCTGTTCAGCTTCTCCAACCCTCAATTGCCTCATGCTGCGAAAAGAGTCTGGCAGCTCTGACTAGGCCGGAACGGTCTAGACGAAGAGATCAGCCGGCAGAACGACAGAAAGAGGAGACGATGGAAAATAAGCTTAATGCTGCTGCATCATCCAAAACAGGTCAGGACTTAGCAGAGTTGCACCATTATTGTGCGATCAATACCATGCGTCTCCACGTTCGCCGAGACTTTCAGCTCCTCCACTCGAGCAAAATTATCACTTGCGCGGAACAATGGCGAATCGACAAAGCCAACTAAGCGTCATCAGTGATGGGAATCTGTTTACTGGCCAGGACGCATGAACAAGTGCCTATCGCCCGCCAGGATGGTGAAGGCTGAACTTTGAAGCGAACAAATGACCAGGGTATGATGGGCCTATGAACGCGCCATGACCAGTGAGGAACCGGCGCGCGGGACCAGCCAGGCTGGGACCCGTTCCGAGAAACACGGCACGCATGCTGCAGTTCAAGCTTAAATCTCGCCGCCGCCGAGCCTCAATGGCGTGGATACGAGATACGGAGTGGATTGCCGGTCCACGGCCTGTTGGTGACATGGTCAGCGGAAGGGTTCGAGAGGTTGCGTAGAGCCGACAGAGCCTACAACCAGGTGTTTCAATTTCGGTCTTTGTAAGTAGGTATCAGTCTTGACTCTTGAACTTTGCCCCGTCGTTGAGTCTGTCTCAGTGAGCCACGTCTGAACACAATTTCCCCTTGATCGAATACCTAAGCTAGGACCCCCATCTTCTGCAATGCATTTTCTTCGACGCCTTTCCCTTTTCTTCTTCAGTCTCATGCACGGTCGAATGGTAGATCGTCAACCCCTCTTCCGATGCAATTGACCCCCATCTTCCGGTGCAAGGATAACCACTTCATTCGCTGCATCCGTACAGCCTTTCCATGTAAATGGAGTGATCTATGCGTTCCTCCAGCACTCCTAGAACCAATAAGTGCCCCGGTCCCTTCCATTGTGCTTCTAAAAAGATTCTAAAAGTCAGCTGACCCCCTCTTTTGCGTGTCGGTGAGCGGGGCGCATCATTGCCATCACCTCAACTTCAGGCTGCTTCGTTCGTGGGACTGGCGGTGATGCGAGTGACAGCACGGTTGAACTTCTTTTTTGTCGCGTTGGCGTGGGGAAGCTGGGCTGACTCCCCACGAGCGATCTGTCACCTCGAGCTCACCCCGGTGCTGATCGTGATTGATACGACCGTGTTCGGCTCGAGTCTTGACGTCGACATGGCATACACATGTACACTGAGGTGCATGCCCCGACCACGTTGAGAAGGAGCGAAGCCATGCAGGCTTGTCGTCGAGGTGAGATGGGTAATGATTACGTGCGAGCTAGACAAGTCGAGGTTACGCGGCAAGGGTGGACCCGGTCCCCATCTCCAACAATTCTCCGCCTGGGACTGTGCATGGTTCAAGTTGTCGACGGACTACGTACTGCACAACAGTGAGACGGGTCAAAGTATCCTCGACCTTTGGGATTGTTGCAAGTCGTGCATTGCACTGGCCAAATTGTATCAGTAAAAAGGGAGATAGGGCGCTGGTCTACTGTCGCTCTCGCCTGCAGCATATCTGTACCGTGACGTGCAATGACCTCGGAGGAAACCATAATGGATGCACGGCGACGTCGCTCATATGAATTGGTCGGCAACCCATTGCCAAACGACAAGTTATGCAAGTCTCGCACGGGTGAGCCGTGCTGCAGCTGTTGCACTCGAGTCTTGGCCCCGAGGTCTTGGACCCTTGCTTTCCATGGGGGCTGCATGGCATTCTTAGTCAATGGTTTCCATTAGCACGCTCATCCCCTCACTCTCTGCGACGCCTAAGCAGAAAAGTGTTGAGGTCTCCCACGCTGATGAGTAACGAACTACGAAGCCACTGCCGCGCACGTCAAGCTGTCTTATCAGCTGGTGGAGCCCCTCCTCCGCTGTGGAGGCTGCGATCAAACCGCGTGGTCAACCTTATTCGCCAATTGGCGCCCGAGGCGGACGATATTCCTTGGGTGACGAACATTAAGTCGCAGAACGTGGCGCGCCAAGGCTGCCTGCATCGTAATTTTCGCAAAGACATGGCGAGGATGAGTACACGTAGTTGGTTGGATCGTTTATCCACACTGCGCTCTTGGGCCGTCCTCGTAGAAATATAGAGAGAGACACAGACTGGAGAGCGCCCAGGCAGGGCCCCGCCTTTGGGCCACAGATGCGTGCGAAGTGGTACATGCGAGATGATCATCGGTAGGGCGATGCTGATGGTGATTCGACCGAGGGGACGGGTGCACCGGAATGGGGGTGAGGGGCTCGGACGCCTATCGATGCGAACTCTATCGGTGGCACGGTGCAACCGAGTCCGACATGGAGGCGAGGAAATATCGAGGGACCCTCGTTGCGAGATGCTACGTGTAGTCTAGCGTATCAACCGTAGTCGAGAAGAAATCTTCCGAACTTCCAAACGTTGATTGACACCATCGGCTCGTGACTTGCACGGCGAGGGATGACGACATGTCATACATGTCAACAGGAACAATTGCTCCATTGAGGCTCTGTGACCCGACGTTGAAAGAAACACGGGCCCACGTATCTCCAGCGACTGGGTCCGCTAATCTGTCCCTGATCTGGACTCCAGGAGGCGCCGGCACAAAAGCTGTCGGCTACAGCGTTGTAACCCGCCACATAGGATAGTCTGTCACCAGTACTCCAGTCGCTCGATCGTCTTCCCGTGGGAGGCCGGCTGCATGTCTGCAGTGACCGGACACGCACTGGCGTCAGACAACGCGGAGCAACTCGACCCGGCAAGACACCACGCGCCCGAGGACTGAATACTGAAGACTGGACAATCGGGGTTGTTTTGAGCCTTCGTTTGCCAACAACAGAAGCCGCACTGATGACGCTGCAGCTTGCTCAAAGACCCATCGGCAATGGCCTGATGACCATGGACAGGGAGGATAGATAGTTGGCAGGGTTTCGTGGTATGGCTCGCGATATTGTGGTGGGAGCCAAGCTATGAGGTCATTGTCGGTGGTGGTTGTGCATCCCAGCGCATGACAGCCAGTAGCCTCACTTCGATGGGCCGGGGGGAAGATACCTTAGATGGAGAGTAGATTGACGGCAAAGAGCATCACGAGGCCGAATGCTCTCTGAATACTACGCTTCACGAAGACCCTTCATATTGGGGAGTTTGCTCCCATGGATTCGCGACGGGCAACGACCTGGGGAGATACGGGCAAAAGGCGACAAAAACACTTGGCAGATTGACAGTGCAAGATGCGCCATCAAGAAGACAAGGGTACGCCACGCTCCAAGAAGGATGGTATCGCTACCCACTTACACGGCCACGAAAACGCACTAAGCACGTTCTAAGTTGGACCAAGGCTTGTCATGTACGGGGGGGCCCCCCACCAACACCGGCTTCATCCAGCAAGCCCACGTATCCATGCTCAAGAAGGCGAGCTGAGCACGGCAGCTTAAATAAATGCCATGCATTCCAGGTACCGACGTTTCTTGTTATCTCCTCCTCTCTCCCCTTTCTCCTCTTCATTCTCTTTCTTCTTCTCTTCCTTCACCAAGCAGAAGTCGTCATCGTCGACTCTCCCCTCATTCGTCTTCGCCTTGTCCATTGGCTTGGAACAAGAGTTCAACAACATCCTCGAGGAGAGTGAACAACGTCAGAGACCAGTCGCCTTCCCGCCGCCCCAATCGAAAATCAAACCACAGAGAACGCGGGGGAAAACACGCCATCAAGTCGAAACCGCCTATGTAGTTGCGTAAACTAGCAGTTTGCGTTGGTTGCGTTTAGTGGTTTTTATCCTTGAATCGAAAACCGGGGATTCAGTCTCATCGGTTTCAACCTTTCTACTGTCCCAGCCGCCAATTGCCTCGTTATCGCGCAAACGCTCTCGACTAAAGTCAATTCGCCATCATGGGAAAGGACAATGGTGAAGAAGAGGCCGTGGCCAACCACGTCTCGGGTCAGGCTAACACCCCCATGAGCAAGCCCGCGCACGCCCTCACCTTTGAGGAGGTCGCCAGCGAGCTCGGCGCTGACGTACAGAACGGTCTCACCAATGAAGAGCACAAAACGCGCCTGGAGAAGTACGGTCGCAATGAGTTTGGTGAGACGCAGGGTGTGCAGCCTGTTCGTATCTTTGTCGGCCAGATTGCCAACGCCTTGACCATGGTACGTCCAGAATTTCCTTCTCAACACAAACACCAATGATTACTGCAATTGTCTGGATCGGCAAGTGGGTTGCTTGATATCGTGGAGGCGCAATGCCTGACGCAGGCTCCGCTCTCGGGGTGGAGTTGACGATTGACCCTGGCAAGGCAGGAGGAACCTTGAACCTTAAATCCGTGCTTAACAGGGGGCAGCAACGACCGTGCAGCCGCTGATCTCAGTCTCACCCTTGCCTTAGTTGCTGGGAACTTCACCTCACCAAGCCACAACACCATCTTTCACATACACGCTGAATTCCTGCCATCTGGTGAGCCTCTCGCTGACCATGCACTTTTCAGGTTCTCATTCTCGCTACCGGTGCCTCTTTTGGTATCCAGTCATGGATTGAGGGTGGTGTCCTTGTCGCCGTTATCGCCCTCAACATCTCCGTCGGATTCGTGCAGGAATACAAGGCTGCCAAGACCATGGACTCCCTTCGCTCCCTGTCGTCTCCCACAGCCCAAGCGGTCCGCAGCGGTAATAACGAAACGGTGCCCACGGCCGAAATTGTTCCTGGCGATCTGGTCGAACTGAAGACGGGTGACACGATCCCCGCTGACGTACGTCTCATTGAGGCCGTCAACTTTGAGACCAACGAGGCCCTCCTTACCGGCGAGTCGCTGCCTGTCCGAAAAGAAATTGCGAGCGTCTTCGCCGATGACACTGGACCTGGTGATCGCCTCAACGTCGCCTACAGCTCTTCCACCGTCACAAAGGGCCGTGCCCGTGGTATTGTCTTCGCCACTGGTCTGTACACGGAAATCGGTCAGATTGCTGCGGCCCTACGTGGCAAGAACTCGCGCCGTCGTGAGCCCAAGCGTCGCGAAGACGGCACCACCTCTTTCGGCCGCTATGTTCAGGCTTGGACCCTGACTGGGAGTGATGCCGTCGGGCGATTCCTTGGAGTCAATGTCGGCACACCCCTTCAGCGCAAGCTGGCCAAGCTCGCTCTGCTGCTTCTCGGTACCGCTATTATTTGCGCCATCATTGTCTTGGCTGCCAACGACTGGAAGTCTGACCAGCAAGTCGTCATCTATGCCGTCGCTACCGGTGTATCTATGATTCCGGCCTCCCTTATCGTTGTCTTGACCATCACCATGTCGGCTGGCACCAAGCGCATGGTTGAGCGCCACGTCATTGTCCGTAACCTCAAGGCTCTCGAGGCTCTTGGTGGTGTCACTAGTATGTGTCCTCCTTGCCTATCACCTACACTCTGCTGACAAGATAGACATCTGCTCCGACAAAACTGGAACCTTGACCCAAGGCAAGATGATTGTCAAGAAGGCCTGGATCCCTGGTCGCGGCACCTACTCCGTCGGAACGACGAACGAACCCTTCAACCCGACCGAGGGCGACCTGGGCCTTAACCCTGAAGAGCCCCGCAACATTGACTTCACTTCCAAGGAAGCCGATGGTGAGGTCTTTGATGGTCACGAGCTTGTGAAGAAGGACACCACTCTCCGCGAATACCTCAATGTCGCCTCGCTCGCGAACTTGGCCTCGGTCACCAAGGTTGACGATGAATGGCACGCACGCGGCGACCCAACTGAGATTGCTATCCAGGTGTACGCGTCCCGTTTTGGCTGGAACCGCCTGGGTCTGTCCACCGGCGAGAACGCTCAGTGGAAGCAGGTTGCCGAATTCCCCTTTGACTCGGATGTCAAAAAGATGTCCGTCATCTTCAACGACAGCCACGCCGACAAGCAGCATGTCTTCACCAAAGGCGCCGTGGAGCGCGTCATCGGTTCTTGCCCCCGTTACCAATGTGGTGACGAGATCATCGACTTCCCCGAGTCTGTGAGGGAGGAAGTCCTCAAGAACATGGTCGCGATGGCCTCGCTCGGTCTCCGTGTCCTTGCCCTTGCCTCCCGCACCGATTTCCGTCACGTCAACGACAATGAGCCCGAACTCGAACGCAGCGAGTTTGAAGAGAATCTTGTATTCCGTGGTCTGGTTGGTCTCTATGACCCTCCCCGTCCTGAATCCGCCCCATCTGTCCGCTCCTGCCACCAGGCTGGCATCGGTGTTCATATGCTCACGGGCGACCACCCTGAGACTGCTCGTGCCATCGCCCTCGAAGTTGGCATCCTGCCGTCGCGCATTAACGAGATTGCTGCCGATGTGGCCAAGACCATGGTGATGGCTGCCCACGACTTTGATAAGCTCACTGACGATGAGATTGACAAACTGCCTCTTCTGCCTCTTGTCATTGCTCGCTGCGCCCCCCAGACCAAGGTTCGCATGATTGAGGCTCTGCACAGACGCAAGGCCTTCGTCGCCATGACGGGTGATGGTGTGAACGATTCCCCTTCGCTCAAGCGTGCCGACGTCGGTATTGCCATGGGTCAAGCTGGATCCGACGTGGCCAAGGAAGCTTCCGATATCGTTCTCACAGACGACAATTTCGCTTCTATCCTCAACGCTGTGGAGGAGGGCCGCCGCATGTTTGATAACATCCAAAAGTTTGTCCTCCACGTGTTGGCTGAGAACCTTGGCCAGGCCCTCACCTTGCTCGTCGGTCTCGCTTTCAAAGACAAGGAAGAAATCTCCGTTTTCCCCATCTCGCCCGTCGAGATTATGTGGATCATCATGATCACTTCTGGCTTCCCTGATATGGGTCTTGGTTTCGAAGTTGCCGTGCCTGATATCATGGACAGGCCTCCCCAGAACGTAAGTTGGAAAAAAACAAAAAACAAAAACAAACTTTGTCAAGTGAGTACGGTGCTAACGTTCTCCAGTTGAAACAAGGCGTCTTCACCCCCGAACTGCTGTGCGACATGGTCGTCTACGGCCTCTGGCTCGCTGCTCTGTGCTTGACGGCCTTCACCCTCGTCCTCTTTGGCTGGGGTGCCGGCACAGCTGACATTGGGAACGGCTGTAACGAGTCGATTGACGATGGTTGCGAGGTTGTGTTCCGTGCCCGTGCCACAACATTCGCTGCACTCACCTGGTTCGCCCTGTTCTTGGCCTGGGAGATGGTCAACATGCGCCGCTCCTTCTTCCGCATGCAGCCTGGGAGCAAGAAGTACTTTACGCAGTGGTTCCACGATGTCTGGCGCAACCAATTCCTCTTCTGGGCTATCATCGGAGGTATCGTCACCATGTTCCCTATCCTGTACATTCCTGGCCTTTCCGACTACGCCTTCAAGCACACCGGTATCACGTGGGAGTGGGGCATCGTGTTTGTGGAGTCTATACTCTTCTTCATGGGTATCGAGACTTGGAAGTTCGCCAAGCGCGTCTACTTCCGCCGCAAGGCGAAGCACGCGAGCAAAGGCGTCGACCTCGAGACGCGCACCTTTGGTCACTACTTCGCCAGCGGCCAGTCAAGTGATAGTGGGAGCGCTGAAGCCGAGAGCGATGCCGAGAAGGCAGCCGTCAAGCGATCGTCTGGCAGCGGCAACATCGATAACGAGAAGAAGGCGAATGCCTGAGGCTCTTAGTCTGAGCCACGTGGTCTCCATGAACTGCGTCGATTTTAGGCGTCGCCTCCGCGCCGCGGCTGTATCTGATGAGGGAAGAAAGGACTGCTACTCAATTTCCTTCAACGTCACATATTTTTTTCCGTATAAGTTTGTTTGCCATCGTCAATGCATATACGCTTGCATATATCTACCGCAAGGAGGAAATTGGACATGATATCCCCCAGAAGGATGACAGCCGAAGAGAAGGGTCGGAGAGAGGAGGAGCGAATATACCACATGTGCTTTGCTCGCGTATTGCCACTTATACTTGAATTGGAAATATTTCCAGGGACCGAAGGATGAGGAGCTTTGTACGACTCGCAGAGTCACAAAGCAGCTGTTGTGGGTGTTTTGTCAGTCCTGTATTGTGAATACCAACAGTATCCAAAACCTTTCAGTCGCAAGATGTGACCATGTTTGACACTTACATAAGGAGAGTTATGAGAGTGACTGAGAGACTTGGATCCAAATTCCGGTGGGATATTAATTAGGTCAACAACTGCCAACTGTGTGTGTCCTACCAAGTCTGGAATCTGACGGAGTTGCCCCACACGTGACGGACCTTCTCCGTCACGTCATCCAGGGAGTCAGGGACCAGTGGCCAGGACATCGACATCTGCTCTCCTTCAACGGCAGTCGAGAGTTACCACACGTGCTAAGTATGCCATGCCGAAACAAGGATCGAGCGCTCGGATCTCCACCGCGTAGTAATGTCCGACGACGAAGCCGCGCAGCCATTGGGATCGCATGATTCGCGTCCATCAGAGTCTCGCGGAAAGGAGCCGCGCCGCAGCCTCAGGCTTCGTCTTGCATGTGCGCGCTGTCAGCGCAGGAAAATTCGCGTGGGTTGTGATGGGCGCCTCTAAAGCGAGATGACTGACGACCATCGTAGTGTGACGGCAAGGTCCCAACATGCAACAATTGCCGAAAAGCTGCGGTGGACTGTGTTGAGGGGGAGAGTGTCCGCCTCGGAGATATCCCGCGAGCGTGGGTTTCCCTTTTCCAGGATATGTGAGAAAAGGAGAAGAAAAGTACTTACACTGTGTCAGACAGATCAAGAGCTTACGACATCGGGTGCAATGGCTCGAGTCCATCATCAAAGTCCGTTGTCCAGACGTGGACCTAACACAGGGCGACGATTTTGAGGCCGGTCATGATATGACCGAGGCGACCCCTGGTGCATCAGTAGAGGCGTCACGGCCTGAGTCTGAACCTGCTCATGGGGTAGATGCGAACCCTCGGATCCTAGGCAGGGTGCAGGATGGGCTATCCCACGAGATTGGTCTCGTGGCGCTCAAAGCCTCGCAGCACCCGCGCTATCTGGGACCTTCGAGCGGCCACTTCCTGGCACGTGTGATGTTGGCCACCAGCCGCCCTGACGAAGCAGGTTGGCGTTCCAAATTTGGAGCCGGGACAAGCCATACGGAAAAGTCGATGCCTGTGGAACTGGTCGAGGCGCTCCAGGGGCCGCTACCATTCCCACCGGCTGCGCAGGCGAGGCTCCTGTGTGACCAGTACTTTGAAATTGTGCATCCCCAGTTTCCGATGCTGCATGCGGCGACATTCAAGGAAAGGCTGCCCCGTGTACTGGAGAACCCTGACATGGACGACCAAGATACCTTTCAGGTCTATATGGTCCTGGCGCTGGGCGCCATGGTTGCCTCACACCAGCGCCGCGTGCATCTACCCGCGGAATCATACTGCTTGTCGGCGCTACGGCGACTGGAGCGCATCCACACGGAAAAGTCCATCAAGGGACTGCAGTGTCTCCTGCTGCTGTTCGTGTTCACGATACACAGCTCGAGCATGAAACTCAGCGTGTGGCACCTCAATTATCAGTGCATTGCGGCCGTCATCGATCTTGGTCTGCAGAGGAACATCACGGCTGTCGCAAACTCGGACATAACGGTGCTGGAGCAGGAGATGCGGACCCGCATACTCTGGGTCGTGTTGATGCTGGACAGGAGGGTCGCGACAATGATGGGGAGACCCATCGGTTTGAGGGACGAAGCGTGTGATCTACGGGTGAGTGTCTATCTTCCTTGCCTGACCCCCAAACCGGAGACTGACTGGCGCGATAGCTTCCTCAAACTTTGAGCGATGACTTTACTTTGTCTGGAGGCGAGTTGTCTGGACAGACAACGTCCTCCACGACAGCCTTCTCGCTCCATCTCTTCAGACTCACCAAGCTCAACTCGGAGATCAAGTACGTTGCCATGAGTATCCGCCGCGATCCACCATACTACGCGTTTCCACACGCCGCCGACCTGCAAGAGTGGCAGCGAAACACTTTCCGGAAACTCAACCAATGGTTAGCGGACCTGCCACCGCAGAACTCTAACAATTTGCATATCCACACCATCTGCCAGATTCAGGGCCAGAGCCTGAAGATGGTGCTTCTTCGACCGAGTCCGGCGATACCTGATCCATCCAAGGACGCACTGTGCCAATGTCACGAAGCAGCGGCGACAAACCTGCGCCTTTTTGGGAATTTGTACATGGACAATCTTCTGGTGCACGGCTGGGAGACATTCTACCACCTCGTTCTCAGCTGCATCACGCGGATCTACTGTATCAAGGTCGTGCCGGAGCTGGCGAGCGAGATGGACCCCCCGACCTTGCTCGCGGACATGGGGGACTGTCTGGGCATTCTCAGCGCCACGGGCGAGCACTGGCCCGGGGCCAAGCGATGCCGTGACATCCTGCACGATCTTGTCCGCTCGCTGGTACAGTGGCTGAGCGATGTCAACAGGACAGCGGGAACGCGGGCGCCAGACACAGCAGAGCCCCGGCAAGAACAGGCGTCGAGGAGTCTACCTGCGGACACGGCATGGGACGGGTCGCAGCTCATGCAGCAGATGGAGAATGGCGGCGACATGGCCACAGCTGACGCGCCTCTGCCGTTCTCTGGACGGGGCACGTTTGATGGGTGGGCAGGTGTGGGATTTGGCGACTTTATGCCCGATTCGCAGGCCATGGACAGTATGATACGGAGTTTGTTTGATGACTTTATACCCATTGGCTTGGAGGAATTCCCCGATACGCTTGGATAGCCAAGAGATGAAACCGTCGTTGGACTATGGCGGCTTGTTCCTGGCTACCTTCCTCCTCGGACGTTCAACTCCAAACAGCGGAGGGTTGGCGAGCGTGTGACGGGGGAACATCGCGTCTACGGAGCACCTCGCCCCAGAAGTTGCCTACGAGAAGCCATTGAGGGACTTCAATTTAGACGCCAACCTAAGGTACAAATCGCTCTAGATGCTCGAATACACTGGCAAGATAGTCCAAACCGCAAGGCTGGCCAAGCAGGGCGCCGTCGTTTTTGGCGGGAACCGCACAATCACCCCGGCCACCGAGACGAGGGAGATAAGCGAGGCAGATGGGAGCATTTGCAAGGTCGTCGCCATGGGCGCCACGTCCAGCATCGCTGGGGCTTGATGGAGACGCCTTGCACAAAGGTCTTGTCACAGAGGTTCCCTGTGGAAGGAGGGTACGAGGCTTTCAAGGCGATGAGGCACGGTCTGTCACGGGGCAGAATATTGTGGTAGATGGGGGGAGATCACATCGTCGACGGGGCGTGTGTGAGTACGTCTATATGATATGGCCTGGTATATTAGTCTCTGGATCTCTCAATGTCTGCGTTTGGGCTCGCCATCTTCTCTGCGACCAGTCCGGCGACATCTTCTTGGTCAACCTCAAAGTCGAATCTTGTCACATCCTCCTTGAAAGGCCACAGCCACGTGCTCGTCACCCTGCGGGGGTTCAGTTTCGTTCGTCTATTGTTCAGTTACTTGACTTACCATTGGTGCTCCTTGCTGGCCTGGTACGTTGCCAAGGCCGCCAGATCCTGATGCACGCTGACAAGTGCCATCTGGAAGCCTTTGCTCTTTTCGATGGGATCAGTGACAGACGGCCCACCGACGTACAACTGCCTGTTGAGGACGCAGGGCAGCTCACGCAGGGCCTCGAGTTCCCTTGCGAACGAGTCGCGATGCTCTTCCGAGATAGATGGCTTGAATTTGAACAGGACTGCCACGTGTGAGGGAGGGTTGGTATGCAATACGCAAGCATGAGCTGGGCGTCGTACCGATGTGTATGACGGCCATGATGGGGGTTCGGATCTCGACGCAAGAGAGAGATTGTGGTAAGTCGTCGATTTGAGCGTGGGTGCAATGATTTGACGCTGATGGAATGATCCTCGACACATTTATATCAAACATGTCCGGTTGTCCTGCGGAGGAACACCGCGCCCACGGAGTTTGTCCGTCTGGATAGCCGGCGTACTGCAACCTGCCGAGCGGGCAGAGCCATGTGGGGATCCATTGCACTTTTTGGTCATTGTTTCACTCTGATGAACCTGGAGTTGACGTATAATTCGTCAGTCAATCGGATCGGATACGTCCTGCTCCTCTCAGTACCACCAAATCAGCGCGCAATCACGACGAGTCTCACCTCTCCGAGTGCCGACTATTCGGACATTGCCATCTCTGAACTTCCAGTCTAATACAAGAAGTATTAGATCTCCATACACATGGCCAGCGAGCTTCTGTATCTCATGTCACACTCTCCACCCGACTCTGGGAAGCGGCTCTTTAAAGGTCCTGGTGTGGAACCTCCAAATAGGCTCACAATTAGCCTCAAGAGCCAACCTTCCACATGCATACAACACGGCAATTCAAACTCCCGCATGTCCTCGCCCGGAAGTGTGTGTCTCCACGCCAAGCACCCTCCGCATATCCCCCACAGTCGAGTGAGACCCTTCTCCGCAATCTTACCTTGCACCGGAAACATCACGGCCCATATTGCCCCGAGCGTGGCAGCCTGACGAGTATCCTCTGCATCTTCTGCTGCTGCTAGCAGGGAGACATGCGGCGTGCTTACCTGCGCCCTGCGCGGTCAGACAAACACCCTGCTCACCTCACCGGTGATCGTCGACCAGTGAGCACCATGTCGTCCTCCACAAAGACGCAGATCCCTGCCAGATCTTCAACCACCTCGAGAACGGTCTGCGGGGAAAGCAGTGTTCGATTCGTGGGAAAAGCCTGCCCATGAGCCCAGTCTCTGCGAAGTGGAAGTATAAAGGAGAGAGGGATATGCACCACCCGCCCTCGCCCTCGGACTCGGAGGCTCAGACGACTCATCACTTTGTTCCCTTTGGCGATCAGAAACAGTCGACAAGTTACAACAACCAAAGAAGCAAGTCCAACCTCCGCCATGGCCATCATCGGGCACAAGGAGGAGTTCAGCGAGGACGCGGCGCGGCTCACGCAGATTGCGCAGGCGGACCCGATCCCGTGGTACAAGAAGCCCAACCTACGCTTCTGCTACCTGATCCTGGTGCCGTGCGGGCTGGGCGTCGAGTGGACATCGGGCTTCGACTCGTCCATGATGAACAGCCTGCAGGGCGTCGAGGCGTGGGTCGAGTATTTTAACAACCCAACGTCGGCGCGGCTGGGCCTGCTCAACGCCATGTACTCGCTCGGGGCGCTCATGGCGATCCCCTTCATCCCCAGCGTCTCCGCTTTGCTGGGCCGCCGCCGGACCATCATCTTCGGGTCGCTCATCATGGTGCTCGGGGCGGGCCTCCAGGCGGGCTCGGTCAAGGCGGACATGTTCCTGGCGTCGCGGTGGACGTTGGGCTTTGGGATCCCGTTTGCCATTGTCAACGCGTCGTCGCTGCTGGGCGAGCTCGGATACGAGAAGGAGCGGCACTTTTTGACGTCGCTCTTCAACGCTTCGTGGTTTGTGGGCGCCATCGCGGCGGCCGGCACGACGTACGGCACGTTCCAGATGGCCTCGACGTGGTCCTGGCGCATCCCTTCGCTGCTGCAGTTCGTGCCGAGCGCGTTCCAGCTCGGCTTCATGTGGTGGTGCCCCGAATCGCCGCGGTGGCTCGTCAGCAAGGATCGCGGCGACGAGGCGCTCGCCATCCTCCAGCGCTTCCACGCCGAGGGCCCGGACGGGGACGAGTACGTGCGGACCGAGTTTGCGCAGATCCAGAGCACGCTCGCCACCGAGAAGGAGCTGGCCGCGCGCTTTGTGTGGATGGACGTCTTCCGCGACGCGCCCATGCGGCGGCGCTTCCTGCTCGCCTGCGTCGTCGGCTTCTTCACGCAGTGGTCCGGCAACGGGCTGCTGTCCATCTACATGAAGAAGATCCTCAACCTCGTCGGCATCACGGACCCGCTGACCGTCCAAAAGGTCATCCTGAGCAACACGTGCTGGGGCCTCATCAACGCGGTCCCCATTGCCCTCATCGCGCCGCGCTTCCGCCGCCGCGTCATGTTCCTCACCTGCACCATTGGCACGGCCGCCGTCTACACCGTGTGGACGGTGGCCTCGGCGCGCTACGCCATGGACGAGACGGCCGCCGCCGCCGGCATCGCCGTCCTCGTCTTCATCTACCTCTACTCGCCCTTTTACAACCTCGGCTGGAACGCGCTGACGTACACGTACATGGTCGAGATCTTTCCCTTTCAGCAGCGCGCCCAGGGCATCGCCGTCGAGCAAATGACGGTCCGCTTCGCCGTCTTCTTCAACACGTACGTCAACCCCATCGCGCTCGACGCCATTGGCTGGAAGTACTACATTGTCTACTGCGTCTGGATCCTCGTCGAGATTGCTACTGTGTATCTGCTCTTCCCCGAGACAAAGGGACGCAGCCTCGAGGAGCTGAGCTTCATGTTTGAGGACAAGGCCGTGCGCGACAGGGTCGACCACCAGGTGGGCAAGGTGCTGGGCAGCGAGCTGACGGAGGTGGGGGGCCACGAAGAGGGCGGAAGAATCATGAAGGCGGGGGAGTGAGTCTAGTCAGGCAGTGGTTGCGGGGAGGTAGGGTAGCATGCCGAGCTTGGGCTTTACTGTATACATATCTCACTCCTGGTAAGGACTGCATCATAATGGTGTCAAAGTCTCTATTTCTGTGCCCGTGCACATCCACCTTGCACTCTACGTGTGCCCCGCCTAGACCAGATAGCGGAACTCGCGCATGTGCTGCCTCTCGGCCGCGACGGCACCGGCGTCCATCTCGATCTGAGCGGTCTGGACGGCGACGTCGTGCTTCGTCTCCCAGGGGTCCATCTCGCCGGCGGCAATCTTCTTGTTGAGGTCGACGAGGACGAGCTTGAAGGCGTAGCAGCCGGCAATGGTGACGCCGAACATGGCAAGAACAATGCCGTAGCTCTTGCGGTAGCCATTGTCCTCCATCTTCCAGACGTAGGAGCCGGCGACGTTGCCCAGCTGGGAGAAGGCGTTGATCATGGCGATGGCGACGGCGCGCTTGGCGGGCGGACGCGGGAAGGAGGACGAGATCCACGAGTAGAAGACGATGAAGCCGGCGTAGGAGCCCGCCTGGAGGAAGAGGGCGACGTAGCGGGCGGCAATGTTGAGGGTGGACATGGAGATGACGAAGCCGACGACGCCCATGAGGATGGGGCCGACGACGTGCCAGAACTTTTCCTGGGTGCGGTCGGCGTGCCAGGCCCAGACGAGGGAGAAGAGGCAGGAGAAGAGCCAGGGGGGCGAGCTCATGAGGAGGGTGGGCACGTAGCTGAAGCCGAGCGTCTCGGTGAGGGAGGGGAAGAAGGCGTTGAAGGAGAGGCCGACGACGTACGAGGTGAAGGTCAGCATCATGAGGTAGATCTTCTTGTCCGCGAGGGCCATGCGCAGGCCGCCGAGGGCGCCCTGGTCGGCCGAGTCGGTGTCGGCCTCGCCCACGTCCTCGGCCATGCGCAGCTGGGCGACGTGGCGCTCCTCGTCGGTGAAGCCACGGGCGTTGTGGGGGAGGTCGGGGAGGATGAAGGCGGCGGAGATGGCAATGGCCATGGTGGCGGCGCCCTCGATCCAAAAGAGCCAGCGCCAGGCGCGGTGGCCGAGGGTGCCGTCCATGTTGGAGAGGATGCCGGCGCCGACGAGGGCCGAGAAGGCGTTGGAGATGAGGTTGCCGCAAAAGAGGAGGGCGTTGCGGGTGGTCAGCTCGCGGCGCGTGTACCACTTGGACAGGATGAGCAGGGCACCCGGCAGAAAGGCGGCCTCAACGAAGCCGAGGAAGAAGCGGGTGGCGACCATGCCGCCAAAGTTGTGGACGACGCCCGAGAGGGTCGAGATGAGGCCCCAGAGCAGCATGGCGCACGAAATGTACAGGCTTGGCCGCTCGATGCGGTTGATGAACATGTTGGACGGCACCTGCATGAGGATGTAGCCCACGTAGAGGATGCTCAGGCACGTGGCGTACTGGTCGTAGTCGAGGTTGAGGTCCTCCTCGAGGCCCTTGAGCCGCGCCGCCGCAATGTTGTTGCGGTCGAGGTAGTTCATAATGTAGATGAGCACAAACAGCGAGCACCGCGCATCCAGCTTGCGCTTCAAGCTCTTCTCGACCGCCACACGCCGTTCCGGGTCCATGGAGAAGGACGCCTGCTTCTGCTGGGCCACGTCGTCGTCGTGCTGGAGCTGCGCGTGGTGGTCCTTGTCCAGCGAGCCATGGCGCTGGCCCGCGGTGGTGATGTTGTCCGCCATTCTGCCCGTTGGGGGAAAGAGCCTAGAGGGTCAACGTGGGTGAGAGGGTTGGACTTGGACCTGATGCTGAAGACTCGGAAGGACGGGAGAAGGAGGACAAACTGGCCATGCTATATGTACTTGACCTGCCTCCGCGCTACTCCATCTCCCTGTGCCCGCGTCTTTCTCCATCCCCGGGTCCCAGACTGACTCTCCCTCGTCACGGCGTGGGGGTACAGTGACTAGGAGTAGGCTGGGAAATGGAGGCGGAGGAGATCCCCCCTCGAGACTGGAGAAGAGACGTGCGATTGTGTCTCCATGATTGGCGGGTCAGGAGTCTCCACGAGCCGGTACGTGAGCTAGGCAACTGAGAATGCGGAGAACAGTTCGGCTGTTGGGGTCGGCGAGGTTTTCCATGCAGCACATGTCATGTCTGCTTGCCTCTCTGTCTTCTGTGGCCTGTTGGCTGCCAAGATAGGATTGCCCAGGCTGGGAAGGGTGCCGACAGCCGTGCTGACACTGGCGGCCACTGCCCAGTTCGTCGTGAAATGAATTCGTCGCGAAATAGATGACGAGACACATGGTAGGCGAGCCAAGCAGTGAAAAGAGGCGCCTACGTGTACGGACAGATGGCTGTGCCAAGGACGAGAGCCGACGGGAGTCACGGGACGCTGCAGCAAAACAAGGGAGGCGTGCGGCACTTGGGAGCCTCAGCCATTGAAGTGCGACCAGGTTTTTCCAGTCCAAAGAAACTGCCAAGTGGGGTACATGTAGCTCGCGGCGACTTTCTGACGTTTCCTGCGATCCAGGCAACCGCCAAAGCAGCATGATACGTTGCAGTCTGTGCAGCTGGATGGCACGAGTTGGTGAGGAGGCGGCGGACTCTCCGCCACGGCAGATGTCAAAGCCTCATCAGAGATGCCACCACCTCGGAGGGGGGAGGCCCACAAGACGCGGAGATAATTGGAGTCGGTCGGTCGGTCGGTCGGTCGGTCGCGATGGGAGATGGTGGTGGACGGTGCGGGACGCACCGGTGGCCTCCATGTTCCTCGGCGTTCAATACAATGCGGCGGCGTCAGCTGCTCTGCTCTGCTCTGCTCTGCTCTGCTCTGCTCTGCTCTGCTCCAGACCGCCGTGCATTTGCTCTCGAGACCGAAAAAGAGGAACAGAATTGAAGAGGGCCAGGACATGAATCGGAGGAGATGGGCATAGGCCTCCTGGAGATTGGAGTCGTGGGCCTTCTCCTCGGATCCGACCCCTAGCCAGAAGAATCTTCCCTAAACAAACCCCAACCTGGCCTTGTGAGTTGCGGCTGCTCATCCTCCACTCTGGCCCGTGGTTTCATTGACACCGTTTACATAACGCGCCGGATTGTGACCGAGCGTGCCATCCATCCAACAAGGGCAGACTCTTACGAGTTGGTACGACGGCAAGTCTGGCGGAAGCACCCGGATATCCCGTCAGTGCACATCGGCACGTATGTACCGCACGCAGCCCTGACTCGTTAAAATTGCTAGGGCACTGCAACCCCCCCCGCCACCACCCCTCGGCACCGAAGAGCTGCATGAGCCTCAGCCGAACGGTTTTTCGTCAAAATGACAAAAAGAGAGACAGAAAAAAACAACATACAACAGCCGGTATTCGCTGGTCGTCACCGACCCAACTACTAATCAGCCCCTCAGCGGCTTGACTATGGGAGAGCGGACGGGATCCCGTATTTTCCACTGGGTATGGTCGTATGTGATAAATAAAACCATCACCAGTCCCTATAGGCACAGTACCCACTAACAAACTTATAAAAAGGCGTGGAGAGTAAAAATATATATAATAGCCGGTATTCGCTAGTTATCACCGACCTAACTACTAATTAGCCCCTTAGGACTCTTTATTATTAGGATACTAGTAGCTTAAAGTAGAAGAATAGGTATCTAGAATAGACGCCTATAATCTCCGTTTTTAGAGGTTATTATCCACGAAATAACGATCTACCGTATTATTATATTATATAACTATCTATAAAACAGGCGTATTTTTAAGCGTCGATTAGTTATTAAAGGGTATAAGAAAATTATTAGTCATTACTATACCTAAAGTATAAGGGTCGGGGGTAGGGTATAGAAAGGGGTAGCTCTTATCCTTATACCTTATTAACTTAAGAAAGTATAGGCGCTAGATACTATAAGTAACGATAGCTCCTTTATTAATTTAAAATAAAAGCTTAAGATAAGAGCTAATAGCTATCGCTATATTTATTCTATAACTTATACTTATTTTTATATCTTAGAAAAGAACGTAATCTTTAATATATATTTAATTAATAATAATAATAAATTATACGCCCTTACGGGTGCCTCTTGCTAGCTAGCCAGGCTATCTAAGCTAAATAATCCTAAGGAAAAATTAAGTAAAAACCTTAGTATAGTCCTCCTCTATCTACTATAGTAAAATACGAAATAAAATACTAGCTTCTATAGTACCAGTCCTATACTAGGGCCGATTCCGCCCGCGTATCTATCGTGATCCTAGGTATATACTATATTTTGCCGGAATTTAACCGTCGTAATAAGGTTCCGGGAGGATCCGGCCCGGATTCTAGCTAAGTTAGCCCCCACTGCGCGTAGACTTTATTTACCTGCCCCCTACCCCTCTATTTCCCCACGTCTCTTTTTCTTTCTTCTTTACGCTCACGATTAAACGTTTCCGCCCTAGATCCGTGTCGCTATCGCCCTAGATCCTCTCGCCTTTCCCTATCTACCTAGAGAATCTATTAATTCTGCTTTATTCCTTCTCGATTCCGGCCCGGATCCTGCTATATCTCGCCGCTACCCCCCTCGTAAAGACTAGGAGTCCTGCAAGGTTAGTAACTATCGCCCCGGTGAGCGCTGGTGCAAGACCTGCATCAACGCCATTGTCGCAGGCAGATACCTACGTGAGCTCGATGCCACCACTCTCCGCCTCTGCCTCTCGTACTATACGTTTCCTGGCCGGTTCCGAGCTTTTCTCGCGCGGTGCGCGGTTCGCTGCGGCTCCGGCCCGGAACCAGGACGAGGAGGAGGAGGACGATGATGTTTTCGTTCCTGTGCGGATCCGGCCCGGATCCTGGGGTAGGTTGGTGAGGTAGTTTGTTTTTGCCTGCGGCCTGGCCCGGATTCGCCGTGGCGGGGTGAATTAAGTCGTGATTTCTTGGTACTTTATGTGTGTCCGTGTTATATCCGGCCCGGTACCTTGCGTTCTTCTTGTGTGGTCTTGTGTTTTTGCCCTTGCTTTACTATAGTCTGTCCTCGATCCGTGTCTTATCCGCTACTCTTCCT